TTTTTTATTAAGCAGAATAGAATTAACAAAACACGTTATTCATATATGCATGTGTATATGTATATGTACCGAGTTGATCCTCTAGGCTGGTTTCTGGAGGGCTCTTTCAAAGCACAGTGGAGATGCAGTATTAAGGCAGCTAGGCTGTTCTCTAGATGGTGTTTATAATCCATGCACTGCTTGTATCCCTGTGTTGGCTGACTTCTGATTTGCAGTCCACTCTTCGGAAACTCCGACTCTTTGGCTGTCGTGGCCAACCTGATCTTAAGCCCTTACCCTGTGCAACCTGCGATGGGTCTCACCATTGCAAGACTCTTTAAGCTGTGAGATAGGAAATGAAGAGGTAAATGGTATGGTTATAGGTTCTCTAGGGACTCTTGAATCCTAACTTCCATTTCTCTAGTGTGCTGCTTAACTCAGGAAAGCTTCCCAAAATGTGTGGTTCATAATTGCTGTTGCTAATGTAGATTGCCATTATTCTTATTCATTTGTTTAGTTACAGTAATATGAACTGTTTTGTGGTTAATCTGCTTTATGTTGATTGCCGTAAGACATTCATGTACAGGCTGTGTATGCTTAAATGAGAGTGTCCTTATGTGGAAAATATAGCTGTTTTGTTCTGATTGCTTACCATCTCCAGTATAATTTTCCATTAAAGGATGTCACTTTATGCGGTAAACGTACATTGAAACTCAGTGGGTTGAATGAATAGCAGGCTATATCACAGGAATTTAAAGAAACAAGCTGCTTAGCATGATAAGGGCAGCAAACTGCTTAATAAGAATCAGTAGAGCTTTGTTTTATAATTATTTTGAGCAGGTCAGCAGGCTCAGCGAACAAACGAAGGTGGCAGTATTAACAATTCTTGAAAACCAGTGTTGCGTGACCATTCAGTTCTTCTGTCAGGCACTTGTAGTAACTAGGATAGCTGCTTCTGAGTTGTTCTTTACTGCTGCAGCAGGAAAACTGACAGTTCTACCTCTTTAATATCTGTTCAGAGACTTTTTTTTTTTCCAAGCCAGTATTCAGGGAAAGATTTCTGTGTAGTTCTTAGCCTTGAATGGTTGTTTATTTTTTAGGAGTTGTAGCATTGCAATCATATTCTAAAAACTGAATCCAAATGATGAATTGATAGTATATATAAAAACCTATGGTTCAGCTTAAAAAAAAAATATATATATATCCCTAGAATTTTTTGATCCAGTTTGTCCTTTCTCAACAAGGACAGTTTAAGAAACAATCCACTTAAATGTGTATTGCTTCTTTTGCTGTAAGCTACCTGGAAGAAATTGTATGTTTGGCAGACATGGCTTTGGTGTACAACATATGTGTTAACAGTTTCGATTCAGCTGTAGCCTTATTCCATGACAGCGTGTGAAGATGATTCTTCAACTTGGCATGTTTATATGCATCTAGTAACAGTGACAGCAGCCATGAATTGTCTTCCCCTCCATTCAGCTTGCAAACAGAACATTGCGAGTGGCATAGTCAAAAAAGAAGGGAAAGAAGCAAGGGGTGTTTGTCTTTGGTGATAGGAATTTCAGTTTGAATTTCCAGCAGTTCAAGAGACTTGTCTCTGTTTTTTGTTTTATGGAGAATTTGAAATTTTAAGTTCTTCACTTAAAGTAAATGTCTGATAGTTTATGTACTGGAGGGAAGTCATGAGTAACTGAACCCAGAAGTTGGATGACCTAACCTTTATTATTATTATTACTGTGTTGGGAGGACTTTTTTCCTGAAGAGGAATATGAAGGCAGTGAATCAATTCTTTCTCAGGGTAAATCAAGAATGAGTCGAGTTCAGGGTTGACTCCTCTTTTTGCTCCATCTCAAAGTTGAGGAAAGCTTGGTAGATAGCATCTTGCAGGTTAGTGAAGATCTCTATGCTTGGCTCTACTTTCAATAACCCTTTGTCCCACTGTATGATTTTGTGGAAGCAGTTTCCATTGGTAGACATGGTTTTATGGGTACATCCAAAGCAATGCTGTGTTCCATAGTATATCATGTTTTTTGAGTTGGTAAGTCCTACTTCAGACACATCTGTCTTCTGCTCGAGAAGTCACGTCAGTAAGAGGAGTGGAGCCAGCTGCAAATCTGCATTGTGATACACGTTACAGTCAGTATTAGGCAGCTAATTGCAGTGTCACTCAAACTGGGTGCAGTACTTAGCCCAAATGTAAAATATTTAGGGCGTGTGGCTATTCTAATGTGCTTGTAATTAGGAAGCCCGGATTACAGACACATAGGCCAGTATCCTTTAAGGAGAGGAATTTTATGAGAAGCAGAATCTGATGATGGCAGTCCTTTGATTGAGTTCAGTGTGATAACTTGACTCACTCTAACACTTGCGGGATACATAATTTTTATCAATTTCTTTTGCATTTTTATATTCTCAGTTTTAAAATAAAACTGTTAATTTCTGATGTTTTTCTTCCTCCTGCATTAAAATGTTTTGTTATCCAGAGTTTAATCAAAATGCTTTCAGTGATTACTAAAATAATCCGATGTTCAATTCACATAGAGACAAATCTTGAAACCTTGGGCTGTTTTTGCCTACTGGAAATGTGCTGCAGTTGGTGCTTTGCTGGAGCAAGAAGCGTATGTGAGAAGCTGAGAAGTTTCTAACTGGTCATAAGTTTAGGAATTAAGAGTTAATTGGATTTGGACACTGAAGTAAAGCATTTGTGTATGTGTATGTGTGTGGTTGGATGCCTAGTGGTAACTGCGAGCTGTTCAGTGAGGGAGGTGAAGGGGAACCTAGTAGCCTGCTGGAGCTCAGGTTCTCATTGGTTGTAACAGCAAGAAAATAGGCTGCTCAGTGTCGTGGAGTTGCATAGATCAACTTTCTGTTCCAGGGTAGAAATTTACAGATGGTGCTGGTGAGTTGTCGCTTGAGTTTCCTTCCCTATCAGAATCACTTGAATTCAGCTTTGCTCATTCTGAAGGTCCAGCGGTTTGTTTTATTATGTATGCTTCTGTCTCGATCAGGATTTACTTCCAAAGACAAGGTGGGTTTCCAGAAACCAGTTTTAGTACTTACATTATGTTTTAGACTGATTTTTAATTCTAAAAAATGTAGATGTGTCTTAGAGATAGTGTGTTTTGGGGGAATATGAGGAAAAGCTTTTTAAAGTAGTTTAGCATCCATTTTTGCGGGTTTGTTTTTTTTTTGATGATTGTAAAGGAAGAGCAGCATCATATGTTTTTTCACTATTGATCATACATTTTTATTCCAGAAATAGTCTCATTCTTTCAAAAATATGCATGATCTTGCATGTAGGTGAGTCCGGTAATTGTCGTGTGGTTTCCAAGCTCAGGAAAAAAAACTTCACTTTCGGATATTTACTTGTTTAATTATATGGGGGAAGGAAAACAAACTTGCTTAGTAAATGAGGTTTTTCCTCACTTATTTAAAAAAAAAAAAAAAAAAAAAAGGCTGACATTATATCATCTGCACAGATGTAAATGTGGAAAACTGTAGGTGGGTTAAACATCCTGACTTATTTCTTGGAGACTGGAAGTTTCTCTAAACCCTTATTTTCATCTTCTACGTTTGTTTCTTAGCTCTTGCATAGATGCTGTTAGTAAGTGTTCTGTGTCGTTGATTCTGCTCTTTTTCAAGAAGGCTGTATTTCAGGGAAGTTGTATTAGATTTGTTTCCAATAACTACCCCTCTCTATATAGGTGTTTCTTAATTCCCTCAGTAGCATTCATTTCTCTTTCAGCAATGATATTATTGAACCAAGTAATATAAAACCACTCAGGTACATTTTTTTTTTTCTTTTTAATGAAAATCAGTTGCCCTTTTGCTTTTCAGCCAAAAAGGAAAAAAAAAAAAAAAAAAGACAAACGACAATCTTTAACTTCAGTGCTAAAAAAATGGAGATGAACGAAACATGAGCAGCTGAGGTACCGTGAGACCTGTCCTAGGTCCTGATTCAGGGCGAGATCCCTGTTTGAGGTAATAGTTAAGGTGGACTTAAAACCAAATCCAAAGTTAGGCGACTTGTTAACTTGGTTGTCTTTAGACGACTTCTAAGCATATGATGGAAATGAAGTTTTCTTTACGAAAGTGGGGTGTGTTTACTAGGGTCTTCATTGTCTGTAGACAGTTATAACTATCTCTGTATGGCTACTTTGTGGAAGTAACTGACTAAAGATTCTATTTCATTTAAAAACTGAGTTTTAAATATTACTGTAGAAGTATAGAACAAACCCAATCAATTCTAAAATCAATTTCTATTGCCATGTAATTGTAGCATGTAAGAAAATAAGTGAGGAGTTGAAGAGTGTTTTCTCTTTTGCAGGTGTTGCTGAAATAGTTTGATTTATTTAAATTGTATGATTTCATGCAATTCTGACTGATTGTTAGTGCAGCTGCCAGCAGCTGCATGATTGCTTAGCTAATTGTATTCTAGTAAGACAGCAAAGCTTATTTTTAAGATCTGCAGTTATGTAGTTTTCTTTTCCTTTGTTTTCTCTTTTTCTCTTAGTGAACACAAAATTGGAAGCATGACTGTGGGGTTAGAATGGTTTCACAATGGACATTCATTACTTTAGTGGAAATTTAAGAGGCTGTGTCAGCCAGTCTTTAGTATGGCTATTAAAAATTAGAACCGTGCTGCTTAAATCTGTATACCTCTGTAGGCCTTGGAATGGTCTTGTCGCTGGAGTTAATTTCATTGTGTGCTCTTTGGGACTATTTTATATTTTAACATGTAAAACTGCCGTTTGTCAGAGTAATTACTATTGCTGTGTTGCTGTTGTGGTTGTGCACACAGGAACTGGGAGCTGCTGTGACATATTCAAGAAATACCTATATGAAATGTGAAACTTATAAGGTTGTATATGTGTAGAAAACATATTAGGAGAGTAGATTAATTGTTATGCATGCTAATTCAGTATAGAATACGTACGTGTTGTTTACTGGTGTGTTAGCTACATAGTTACAGTCGACAGTATGAAATTTATAATGCGGTGTTGTTTTTATTTGTTATATAGCTTTATGCCAGTATATACAGGCCTCTAAAACCCGAGATGGTGCCAGCCGTTTCATTTCAAGTGCAACAGAAGGTAAAGGAAAATGCGTGGGGAAATTTAAAAACAGAACAAACACAATTTTCTGTTCTCCTGATACCCTCTCTTCATGGGCGCTTACTTGGTTCTTGATCTTTTAACACTCTAAGCTCTCTTTTCACAGCTAACTTTTTGTCATAGACAATGTACATCCTTTTTCCCCTAAGTCTTGAAGAAGAAACTAAGTGACGCTACATCTGTTTATGTTAAACCTGCATCATCTTTGCCTCTTGTCTATTTGTGCTTTTCTTCTGTAACGAAAATCCACGAAGCTTAAGCTTTAGCTATACTATAATGAGAATCTGAAATAACTGAAGAGTAATTTGGAGAATTGTTGACATAATCACAATCTGAAGATACACTTAAGGAAAAGCACAGATATTTAACATAGAAATGTTACAGTGCCAGTCCTTGCTAATATCTGCAATATGGTTTTATGCTGACTAACTGTCTTGCATTTTCTGTTTCTCTTAAAAGGAGTGTGTGTGTATAATTCACTTATTCTCACGTGTACCTGCTGATGTCCTGCTTTATGGCTTTGTTAGAGCTTAAAAAGAGAATGACGTGTTTACATCTTTATCTTTCTTCCACTTTCAGGGGAGAACTTTGATCAGACTCCGTTAAGACGCACATTTAAGTCCAAAGTTCTTGCCCGCTATCCTGAGAATGTTGAATGGAACCCTTTTGACCAGGATGCAGTGGGAATGGTCAGTATCACTTAATGGCTCTTGCTTTTAAGGCAGAAACCTACCTTAACAATTGAAGGCATTTGCTTTTATTTTCCTTGACAAAAAAAAAAGTTGCACTGCAAAGTCTATTATAGACTGGAAAAAAAATACCATGAAATGCTCTAAATTGTGCAGCCTCAAAAGATTTTTTCATTTAATTGGGATATTCTTTAAAGGAAATTAAGTTTAAAATATATAAACAATATGTTTCTAGAACAGTTTTTTGTTCTTTACAACTTCTTCTGTTACATTCTAGAGAATTGGTGGAGAAATAAATTAGTATGTGGTTGATGAATCTCCCTTGTGCATAATAGTACTGTTTAATGGAATACAGTGTAGTTTCTTATTTTAGACCAAAATTATTACTTTTCTTTGTCAAGTTTCTGGTCTTAATGAAGAAAATACTTTTCTTCATGCGAGTTTAAACTTTATTTTATTTCTATAGAGACTTGTAACAAACTGGTTATGGCCCTTAATAGAAACAACATAAAGTCCTTTTGAAGTATTCCTTTAGTTTTTTTAATTTGGATCTGTATTATTGTATTGTACAGAGATGTATTACTTAATGCAATTTTAATATGAAATGTGATGCCAGCTTGTGGGTTCTAGATTCTGTTTTATCAAATTCTTCTAAAGTGGGGGGAGAGAAAAAAGTGTTAATATTATCTCCTCCTCCCCCCCTCCCCTCTTTGTTTTTATTTACAGCTGTGTATGCCTAAAGGACTTGCTTTCAAGACACAAGCAGATTCTAGAGAACCTCAGTTTCACTCTTTTATTATTACTCGTGAAGATGGCTCACGGACATTTGGATTTTCTCTCACGTTTTTTGAGGAAGTTACTAGCAAGCAGATCTGCAGTGCGATGCAGACATTGTATCATATGCACAATGCTGAATATGACATTCTTCATACTCCACCCACAAATGATAAAGATAGCTGCAGCAGCACTGGAGACTGCAACGGCACTTCTATTTCAAAGCTACAGCGTTTTAACTCGTATGACATTAGCAGAGACACGCTCTATGTCTCAAAGTGCATTTGTTTGATTACTCCCATGTCTTTCATGAAAGCTTGTAAGAAAGTACTAGAACAACTTCACCAAGCAGTGACTTCGCCTCAGCCACCACCTCTACCTTTAGAAAGCTACATCTACAATATTCTCTATGAGGTTCCTCTTCCTCCAGCAGGAAGGTCATTAAAATTTTCAGGTGTTTATGGACCAATTATCTGCCAGAGGCCAAGCACCAATGAACTACCGTTATTTGATTTCCCAGTTAAAGAAGTATTTGAGTTGCTTGGAGTCGAAAATGTGGTTCAACTCTTTACCTGTGCACTCTTGGAATTTCAGATACTGCTTTATTCACAGCGTGAGTACTTCCTTTTTGTTTTCTTGTCTGATAGTTGTTCTGGCATAAGGATTCTTCATTTCTGGAATGCTTAAAAAAAAAAGCAAAATGGAAACAAAATAAAAGAAAACACAGAAACCAGAGTAGCTGCATTAAAGTGGCATTAGAGTGCTAATGCAGTAAGACTAATCTATATGCAGGTATTAATGTCAAGAAAAAATCTCAAATTACAGAGAGCATTTCTTTGGTTCCTATTTCTAGACACCTCAGTTTAAACCCTGAGGCCTTCACATAATCTCCTGCAGTCATGGACTGACTGTCCCATTTATTGTTGTTTCTGGAAGTGTTCTATTGTTAGAGTAATATGCTTTTTCCCATGTAATTGCTTAGCTGATTTCTCCCTCCCATCTCTGCCAAATTGTGTGTGCATTTTGAGAAGAGGCATAGTAAACTTTGAAGGGCTTTGAAGAATAATTCATAGTACAAATATAATTTTCTCTTTTAGTACCTGAGTCACATTTCAGTAGTTACTTTGAAATAAAATTACCTGAGAAAGTTGTGTTTGCCAGAATTTAAAATTTGAATTTCTTTTAAGGCCTGAAACAGTTATTGCTGATGTCTTGTAGATGAAGCTTGAGATAAAGCTTGCTTTTAAGTGGGTAGGTAGAACTAAGCTGTATTAAAGTCTGCGAACACTGGGCTTTTTTTCCTCTAAATTCTGTAACTCTAGAACAATACATGTGGAATTACACCAGAAAATAATTTTTTCTACTTCCCTTTGATATTAGGACTGACATTTTGGATAGGTGGTTTTGAACTAATGGTATGGATTGAAGTAGATGGTTTGCATTTGAACACTGTTTTATAGTAGTGGCAAAGAAGCCTAGAAGACCCTAAGCTGAATCCTAGGGTAGCCTATGGTGTTACTGAAGTCTGTTTTCAATATTTGCTGTCACTGAATTATGTGGAAAACAAATGTCAAGTATTTTTAAAATATATCCTGCTGTTATTAACAAATTTCTTGAAGCATGAAATAAAGATGTTTATGTGTGTTGAGATGTGTGCATAGATTAAAGCCAAAGAACAGTTCACTGTGTATGTGGATCAAAGGTGTTTAATTGTAGCAAGACTCAACAACTTATGTTGTTGTTGTATTGTATAAACGTTAACTTGCCAGAGAAAAACTATATCTTCATTCAAATACAGTCAAAATAAAACCCCAACAAAAACAACCCAAAAAACCCAAGCAATCAAACAAAAAAACCAACAACGTATTTAGGGAGTGTTTGTTTATGTGGACATTCTGTCTCACAGGCAGAAATTTTAACACAAACTCTTCCATCTGAAGATGGTGGTCAAGTAGGCCTGTAGTTGTGCTGGAGCCGTTGTGTGGCAGATGTGTATGTGTGTCTCACCAGCTGAAAGCACAGCAAGAAGAGTAATGCACGTGTCACAGCATTGGAACAGCATTCCCTGTATCTTTTCTAGAGTATCACTTGCCCTGGGCTGGAACTTGGTGTGCTTGCAGACTAATCTTCTGTATTTTAGGTTATGTTTCCAAGGTCATATTGATGGGCTCAACATATTTGTCCCCTTTGGCTCTTTCCAAGCGTCTCATTAGTCATTAATTAACATAGCTTAAAAAAAGCTCTGGGATGTGGATTGCACGCACAGATGTATGGAAATCAAGAGAGAGGACTTACTGAATGAAAGACCAGTAGCTCTGGATCTGATCTTTATGACAGTTCTTTCTCCTGCTCCTTGCCTTACCTTAAGTTTTGTCTTAGTTGGGTTTCTTTATGCCTTACAGAAGCGTCTTGTTTCAGTCTATCAAGTTTTCACTGATAACTTCTGGTAGAAAGGCCTTATAGTCAAAAAGTATCTTGAGTTATTTGTTAGTATTTTTGCCATCAGTTTTGGTAAAATCATGCCTTCTCAGTAACAGAATTGTAGTTTTTGAAATATAAGCATGTATTTTCTGAGAAATCAAATCTCAGGCTCTTTTTTTCTTGCTCTCTTGAAGCATTTTGCTAACACTGAGAACATCATTAAAGCTACTAGTGGGTAATAACAAAAGTTAGTGAATACTGAAGGAGCTGCTAGCACTCAAGTTCAAGACTTTTCTACAATGCTTTTAATAAAGACTTAATTTTGTGAGATTGGGAAGTATTTTGAAATTCTAGAAAATAAACCTTTTCTCCCTGTAATTTCTTATGTATTTTCTAACCAAGATATTCTTTTTTTCTTTTATATGGCAGTGAAGTAGAAAATTGGTTTAGCAGAATGATTGCTTTCCTTGATGCTTAGGAGAGTGTTATCAGTAGAAAAAATGACACACCTGACTGAGGTTCTGATTGTCTGTACCCTTACCAATTAGTTTCCTTCTTTTACTTTATTTTCTTTTAACTGGAATATTCTCCTAATACATTCTGTGTGGTTAACTAACTTTTTTCTTTCTGATTGCAAGAAAGGGTACATTGAATGTAGATACAGGTGTGTTCAGTTCCGAGAGGAATTGAAAATTGCTTGAACTTTTGTAAAGAGTTTGCCATTGTTCTTGCGTGAGCAGCAGCATGAGGTCTAGTTGTCTTTGTGAATATAAATGTTAATTTTTTCATTGTCTTGTGGCCTTTGTAGATCTCTTGGTGCTTAAAACTGTGACAGTTGAGAGAGAATCCCTTCTCGTTGTTCTAGGTCAGATGAGATTGCTGCGTGTGTTGGATGGATTTAGGTTTAGAGCAGTATAAGAGGGTTTCCTTGTGAGACTGACTTCTTCTCCCACCTTTATTTTTTCTTCGATGACTTTGGAGGCAGATGCATTCATTTCTGAAACAAGTTCTGTAGTGCTTTCAGTTGCTGGCAGTCCTTGGAACAGGAGCAACTTCACTTGACAGTGAGTGTGTTCTGCTTTGAGATTCCTTGGACATGTTTCTGAATTCATGCTTCTGGAAATTCTTCCTTTGTCCTACTACACTGGCACAGCCTGTGTGTTTGTGACCAGTGTAAGCCAAACGTAGAGAATGAGTTCCTTGATATGGATGTCGACTTGGGAGAGTTGCCTCTCCCACTTTGGAATGCACTAGAGGAACTCAGGTGCTTTTGAGATGATGAAGAACCTGAAGCTAGTGCTGAGCCATGGAGTTTGGGCAGCAGCACCAAAAGACAGTGGTGCTGAAGGGGAGCTTTAGCTGTGCTCTCACTAGATTACACTACAGGAGCTGGTTTGCATTCCTGCAGTTTATGTTGCTGTTGATTCTGTGAAATGGATTTAGTTCTTATCTCTATTATATAGCACCTCGTGCTTGTCTGAACTCAGTGCATACTATTCAGAAAGCTGTGAAATCTGCTTGGAGGAGGCTTTTTTAAGCAGTTGAAAACAATAAAATGAGAAATATGATGCACCACTGCCACAGACGATCTTGCTCAGCTTTATTTTTCTGGATATTTGCTGGCTGTTGCCATTTTCAAGTGAAAGTTTATTTGATTGCTTTGACTTTGAATTGTTCATCCCCTTTACTTCACTTGCTTTAAAATGATGTTCTCTGTGAAGATTTAAGGTACTGGTTTAATTTCTTTGCATTACGAGTCTCATATTAGTTGACTCCAGAAAGACATTTTCTTATGTCTAAAGTAATTTAAGAAATGGGCTGCTTGATGCAGGCATCTTTATTCAGCCTGAAAAAAGGTTCTGTGTTCTGTCAGACATAGAAGTGAACATGAATTAGAAGTTCTTTGATCCATTGCTTCTCCTTACCACAATTCTCTCTTTCCGCAGTTACTTTTGTTTGTTTAAGTAAAAAGCCCAATTGAAAAATGCATGCATGCTTTATCTCAAGAGTCTGACATACTGAATATCTCAGAAGAATTTTTTGGAAAATATTTCTTTTGTACTGTGCTTAAGGGGAGCTCTAGGTTCTGGCAGTGCTTTATTCTGATGGCTCAACTGCATTGCATGTCACTTGCCTATAATGACTGCATATTTAACTTTTCACCTTCTGCTCCTCTTCAAGTTGAGAAGAGGTTGAATCTTGTTCAATTGCACATCCTTCTGGTTTATTCAAATACTTTCTGAAGATCTCAACTCATCTGTGGTAGTGGTTCTCCTTTTTTAAGGGCAACTCTGCTTTAAAATAACAGAATGGGAGTGGTAAGGGGAACGGAAAAATTACTTGACAAATATAGCAATATTTCACTGCCATCTTTGAAGATTAGAAGGAGAAACTATTTCAGAGTGTTTAACTGCTTAACTGTTTTCAATTGGATGAAGTCAGAGGATTTCTGTAGGTCCTCATGGACATCTCTCTGGTAGGATGTGAGAAAGAATAGTTGAAATTACGATTCTTAGAATCACAGAATCACAGAATTGTAGGGGTTGGAAGGGACCTCCAGAGATCATCGAGTCCAACCCCCCTGCCAAAGCAGGATCCCTACACCAGGTCACACACATAGGCATCCAGGCGGGTCTTGAATATTTCCAGAGAAGGAGACTCCACAACCTCCCTGGGCAGCCTGTTCCAGTGCTCCGTCACCTCACCGTAAAGAAGTTCTTGCACACATTGGTGCGGAACTTCCTATGCTTCAGTTTTTGGCCATTTCCCCTTGTCCTGTCTCCACATACCACTGAAAAGAGTCTGGCCTCGCCACTTTGCCCCCCACACCTTAGATATTTATAGACCTGGATCAGGTCTCCTCTCAGCCTTCTCTTCTCAAAGCTAAACAGACCCAGTTCACTCAGCCTTTCTTCACAGGGGAGATGCTCCAGGCCTTTCACCATCTTTGTGGCCCTCTGCTGGACTCTTTCCAAGAGATCCCTGTCTTTTTTGTACTGGGGAGCCCAGAACTGGACACAGTACTCCAGATGAGGCCTTACCAGGGCAGAGTAGAGAACTTCTTCCCTTCTCCTCTCTTTCCAGATCCAAGATCAATTTCCTTCTTTTTCCTCAGTTTTCTTGTCCGTTACAGATCAACAAAAATGTCTAGATGCTATAGACACAGGTAGTGGTGTAAATAGCTTCAGTAAAGCACTTTAAGAGGTCTTTACATGCAGCAATTGGCTGAAAGAGGAAATCACACCTAATCTGTGTTCTTAAAACAAGTGGTCATACTACTAAAAATAATAATAAGAAAAACAATGTGGATTTGCACCAGAAAAAAATATTCTGGTTTCAAAAACAAGAGTGAAAGTAACACCACTGCTGGAGCACTTCCTTTTTTTTTTTTTTTTTTTAAAGAAATAGATATTTAAATCATCTGTAGTGCTCTGGTGCTGATTTTTCCTTTTTTTTTTTTCTTTTTACAAAACAAATAAAGCACCACACCCTCTCTGGATAGGTCTAACTTAAGAAAACATCTAGGTTATTTTGCTTTGTTTGCACGTTTCTTGCCTTTGTCCTTTTGCCAACAGCTCTTGATGTGCATAATGCCTAGAGAACGTTGGCTTGATGGAGAGAGAAGTTGTATTAAAATTAGCCAGCAGAATTAGACAGAGTGTTTTTGTGTAGTAGGAAAACACTGTTTCTATTCTGAGATTTGTTCTTCTGGGTAAACAAGCTGAATATGAACCAGCTGGAATCTTTGTGCATTTCTAGCTACTTTAAAGTTTAACAGTGGAGAAAATAGGGTATGGAATAGATTCTTCTTCCCAAAGCTAATTGTTAATTCATCACTTCTTTGCAGTCGAAGCTGTGATTAAAGCTGTGAACTAATAAATAACTGTTCAGGCAGGAATTGGTGTCAGGCAGAGTAGGGTTGTGCTGCTGGTGATGTTCATCAAGCTGTTCCCTAACATACTTCAGGTATTTTATTTATGTATTTATTTTGTAGCAACTGTTTTAACCATGCTAGCTCATTTTGATTTAAGCTCTGTAGAGTACATTTGGTGTGGGGCAGTGACAGTAAGCTTTACACATGTACCTTTTCCACTCTCATAACTTGATCTGAAAATGAAAATCAAAAGCCTGGATTACAGAATGATGACTGGCATTGGCAAAGCCTGCACTGAGTTCTTCAGAGTTTCCTCAGCAACTTTGCAGACTGCAGATTCTACACATTTACTTTCTAACACAACTAATCACAATTGCCAGGAACTGTTTTTCTCTGCTTGTTTAGAGCTGGTATTCTTTTTCATTTTCACTATGCAGCAGTGTAACAACTTCAGAAATCTCAGCATCTGGACCGTTGTGTTCAAGTGTTTTTTGCAATTTTTTGTTGTTCTTAATTTTATGAATGTGTTAGAAGACCTTCCCCTCTGTCACAGGCACGTATTAAGGATACTTATTTTCTCCTCTCTCCTATTTGCTCTGCCCCCACTTTCTGACTGGAACTTGATATTATTGCAGTATCATGCGAAAGGCATCCTTTGTTTATGGTTTGTACTGTATTTATAATTTGACTGAAGATAAGAACTGTCATAGTCTTCTGAACTTGTTTTATGGTCTTTCCAGCCATGCTTGACTACAGCCAGGCTGCTTGACTGTATTATGAATGTTTTAGTAGTTGTTTGTGTTAGAACACATGCTCTGAGTTCATCTGGTGTTGCCTCATTTACAGTGCATAGATATTGCAACCCATTAGAGATGATTCCATGGTATGAAAGAGGAGGAGGAGGAGGTTTTGGCCCAGAATACTGCAGTGTTAACTGCTCTAGACACCAGCTGCTGAACAAAAAAGATCTTTTGGTATGCATGGTGCACAGGTGCACTTAGCACTGCTGGGAAATTGTACAAGGAAATGAGTTATTTATATGTTGAATTGAGACTTTGGCCACATATTGCAAAGGATAAATGAAGCTGATCCCTTTTATTTTTTACAGTTATTTCAGTCCCACTGTTGGATTGGCTACTATACAGCATGCTTTATAGACGTTTAAACACTCTTAAAAAATGTTTATCTGAGAGATACCAGATGCGTTGGTTTTCATCCAAGGCTCCCATAGAAAGCCATAAGCACAGAGAGAATAAAATAACTTCCACTGTATTTCTTAGCCAATTACAATACAGATTCCAGACTCAGAGTGGTTTTCCTGTTTGTAACCCTGGTTTAGGTAGCGTAGAGTGACTTAATGGGTGTAAATACTTAATTTGCTCATTTCTGCATGACTTCTAGAATTGACCCACTTTGTGGTGCTGTTTCAGCAAAATCTGCTTGGGTGCACAAGTGTAGGCTTCCATTAAAAATGCTGCTCAGCTAATACCAGGTTCTGTGGTTTCTGTTTTAAAGCAAGTTCTCATTTCTTCAGTTTCATGTACTTAAATATGTTTGTGAAATTTTTTTTTCTTTCTCTTTTTCAGATTATCAGAGACTGATGACTGTGGCAGAGACCATTACAGCACTAATGTTTCCATTTCAGTGGCAGCATGTGTATGTTCCTATCCTTCCTGCATCGCTCCTTCACTTTCTAGATGCTCCTGTCCCTTATCTGATGGGCTTGCACTCCAATGGACTGGATGACAGGTCTAAGCTGGAGCTTCCTCAAGAGGTGAGAAGAACTTGGATCAATTCATTAAATGTTGTACATAATAATGAGAGAAGTGAAGGATGAGCCGAAATACTGGTGTTAATTGTAACAGCCATTTTGAAATTCCAGCTGGTGATGATTTGGCATAGATCTTATTTAATTTTTTGGAGCTGCTACAGCAAACCAATGAAATTGATTAAAAAAAAAAAAAAACAACAAAAAACAACAAACAAAAAAACCCCACCTTGTTTTGAAATTACATTTCCTGTTAAAGTGAGACTGGAGTTTTGCATGTGTTTTTGCTGTGAGGTTACAGAAAGAATGTTTTTCTGGTGTAAAACTTTGTCCTATTGTGCTAGAAAATGCAGGAAAGTGCAGTGTGACCTTACTGGCTATGGACAAAAGGCCATGCTGCTTCTGTGATGCACTGGTCTCAGTGCTGTGCTGAAGCTGGTTGTTAGTTGTGTAGGATTAAGCTGGGTTTCTCTCTGCTGCACTTTTGAGTTAGATTGTCTTACCTAGATCCAGCTGCTCACATACCTGCACCAAAACTATTTAAGTTTTTCCTTTGAGCATAGAATTCAGTCTGCAGCAAAATGTTGACATCTACTTAAGTCAATTGGTTTTAATTGAGATAATGCTCAGGGAGTTCTTCCTTGTAGTGTGGCTGTGTTAATAACAGCCATTGTATAAATGAAGCAAATGGCTTGTGAAGGTTCTGCTACTCAAACATGAGACTGGGAATACATTAAAACCACTTACAGGTTATTTTTATTTATTATATCCTATTTCACAAATATTCATTTTAAGGACTTGCCAGGAGAAACCTTAATATCTGGTTATGAGGATCAAGGGGCCAGGAGAAGGTGTGCGCTACCTGAGATAGCAAAGAAAGTTCCTACAGGAGCTGATAACCATCTGTGGGAAGCATGTCAGGTGCCTGTCAGGCTGTACTATCAGTCGTCAGAATGACTTTTCTCATAAAGTATCACTGAATGGTTTATTTGCTTCAGTAAATAGCAAATGATGAATGCTGTAGTATAATTTTCCTGTCTTTGTGAAGGAGCTGGACAGCTCCATCAGATAGCCCTGTGGAAACCTTGTACTACGAGAATTGTCAACAACAGAGATCTGGCCCTTGCTAGAGTCTGCTTGCTAAGTGTAGGCATAATTTCACAGGGAATGGGCTGAGTAAGTTATGGAAAATCTGCATCAAAAATCCTGCTAGTGCCTATAATCTGTCTCTCTATCTGGTTGTCTGTTTGCTTCTCTTATCATTTGAATTACTGGAAAAGCAGAAGTGTAGAAGAGAGAAGATTTTTCAGTGGTGGCTGTTACTTTCTTGTCCCCTTTTTCTGTTTCATTATCAGACAGTGCTGCAACATAGCTTGACATAAACTTCTTAAAAAAGCTGTGTGAGATTAAAGACTAGATATTTCTGTGAGCCTCCAGTCTGGTCACCATGCCAACATTGCTCTTTTTACTCAAATCCATATGCTGATGGTATTTGTTTTTCCTGGCAAGTTCAAAAGAAAATTTATTTTCAGATTGTTGTTTTTCTATCAAAATTCAAGTCTTTATAAATATCTCAGTTTCTTTTTCTCCTTCACTTTTTGTACTGGCATAATATCAGAGTAATGTATGTTCTTGCCATGAAAACACTATTGTTTTTGTTTACTATGTATTTACAAAACTTTGAATGTAGTGACGTTCAGTGGAGTGTGCCTGTGTAATGGGATTTATTGCAGAATGTAAACTGGTCCTTCTGAAGCCTCCCTCTGGGAGTGAGCTCTGACAGTTATGTACAAGGCTTTGTTTGGAAAAGTCACTGCTAAGTTCTTGCTAACTGGTGAAGTCTTTAGTACTGTAGGCTGTGTTTTGGTTTAATTCTGCAGGTGGTTGAGCACCACATGGTTATTTGCTCACTCCCTCTTTGCCAGTGAAATGGGGGAGAGAATCGAAAAAGACAAAGTAGAACTCATGGGTTGAAATAAAGCTGTTTACTAAAATAGACAAAAGAAAGATATTACAAATGGTAGTCCATATAAATATGAATGGATGTGTATATATATGAATTTATGTAAGAAGTAATGCACAAGCAATTGCTCACCACCTCCTGACTGATGCCCAGCTAGCCCCTGAGCAGTGAAGAGAGCAAGATGAACTCCCACCTCCTTCAAAACTACTTCTGCATGATGTCATATGGTATGGAATATCCCTTTGGACACTTTAAGTCAGCTGTCCTAATTCTGTCTCCTGCCAGCTTCTAAGGCCTTTGGTGCAAATGACCTTGGCTTTATACAACGCTGCTTAGCAGGAAACAGTAATCATCAGTGTGTTATCAACTTAGTTTTTCTCCTAGAACCAAATCATAGCAGACACTCTGCAATTCCATCCCAGATGAAAGTAAGGCATTGAGAAAGTAGCTGTGGTGTGCAAATGGGTTTGAACATGTCCTGGAGACTTCAGAGATACCTAAGTAGTTATCCTATACAGACTTTTTTCTTTCTTTTCTTTTTTTTCTTTTTTTTACCTAAGAGGAAAACTAGACTGGGAAGAACAAGAGCTCACTGTTGTTGAGATTTTCATTGTATTTATTTTAAAAAGCAAAACAAAAAAAAATCTGCTGTTTTAATGAAAAGTAAACATACCATCTAAAATGCAAGTCAGAATCCCAGGAACATTCTGGTCTCACTAAGTGGAACTACTGGTCAGTATTTCTGTTATCAGTAATTTGATCAGCTAGCTTTAATATACTTAGAACTGCAAATTACAGGCTGATCTCAAAGATATTTTGCATTATGGTTAAGCCTTCAGGTAAGATCACTTTCACTTAAAGAGCCAAATGAGCTCTGGACAAAATTCCTGATGGAGAATCTAACACAGAATATGCTTTACAAAATCACAGAATCACAGGGGTTGGAAGGGACCTCAAAAGATAGAGTCCAACCCCCCCTGTGAAAGCAAGCATGTCATCATACAACCTTAGAAGAAGGCAGATAGGTTCTGTTATATGTACTTAAAGACAAATTTATCATCAGAAACAAAAGTGATGGTACTAATTAATATTGCTCATCTCCAAAGTTTGGAGTCCAAATGGCACTGCATGAAATTCTTAGGGTTATATGAGGAACTCAGTTTCCAAAACCTAACTCTAAGTTCCTGATTTATAGACACAGTAAGTATCAGAATCTTCGTCACTTACTAGAAAGGATGTATAAAGAGCTGTTCTGTGTTCTAATTTATTCTGAGTCATGGGGAAAAAAGTGGTTTAGGCTTTGTCTTGAAACTGCATAAACAGCACCACTGTTGCTAATCCACTTAGATGGGTAGGACTGCTGTTATTAAAGCAGGGTCTAATTTAGGCAAAGAATAGGGAATCGAGCTTTGATAGAAAATCTGGTTAGTGCCTCTCAGTTGAAGAGTGGAAGAATATAATGTTGCTATCTGATATAGCAAGGATGTTATTTGTATTATGTTTTAAGATAAAATATTTTTACAATGGTTGAAAATATGGTCTATGCTAACTGTCAGGTTTGGACTAAGTCTTCACACATATGCCAGAAAGCTTGTTTTGGTTTGCTTGCAGTAGCAGTCTTCCATGCTTTGGTCACAGCTGGTGTTTTAAGGAATGCTTTACCTTGGCAGTGTGGAAACTGTATCTTAGAAGTTGATGCTTTGTCAGATGATGAATAAATTCTTCAGCAAAATAATTATATTGGTATAAAATGCAAGTTTGTATTACTAGTTGCTGAATTCACTGAAGTTCATCAACGACTCATAGACCCTTACTTGGCCTTGTAAGATTGTTAAGAGATTTGAGACTGGTGTATGTCATTGAAACATGACACTTAAAAGCTAAGCTTGTTCTTATGTATCTTGTTGCTTTTGCTGAAGGCTTTTTCTCTGTGCATGAGCATCCTTGTGGTTTCTCTAGTGGCTGCATCTGAGGCCTATAAAGAACTCAGAAAAGAAGTTCAGGGCCATGGGAGAAGCAGTGTTAGACCGAGGTGCTGCAGAAATCAAAGAGGAAGGCAAGAACACGCAGCTATTTCAGATGTTGCTAGCAAAATGTGGTTTGTGTATCAGTAAAATTGATCAGAAAGGAGGTTAAACTAGCAGTCTTGCAGATCATAAACTAGATACTAAAGTAAGACTTTTTTGATGTCTTTGAATTTCCTTTTAAAGAAATTTTTGCAAAGATATAGCAACGTTTTTTTAACATGCAAGTTAATTTGTGCTGTTTCATGCTGTTGAATGTGCATTTTCACCATCCACATGCATTAGGGAGAAAAGGGAGATTATTTTGAGTCTAAATAAGCAATGCTAAATCTTCTAGCACTCATTAAATCAAACAAGTAGTATCTAGTTTAAAAAGCTTGTTTTTAATGAAGTGCTTGGACAGTAGTGTTTTCTTTTAGACACTTTGGGAGACTTTAAAAGCTAACATCCATTTTTCTGTTACTGTAAGACAGTATATATTCTCAGTATTCTTATTTCAACAATTGAAAGGTGAAATTGAATGCTAAATCTGAATAATTTGTGCTTTTTAATTATTACTTGTTTATTCTAGAAGAAAAGCCTCTTTTTCCTCTTGATGCCAACACGTTTAAAACAGCCTGATTGCGATAATTATTTTGACAGATAATCACCACTTCATATACGTTTTGATGCTATCTGCTGCTATGGTAGATCCTTGATAATACTGCAGGTTTATTGACAGATTCCAGTTTGCTCTGTAGTCCTGTACTGCAGTGTTAAGGAGCTATTGAGGAATTAAATTCATATTTCTGAAACTTGCAGCTGTTAAGTTGTTGTACATCACAAATTCTGATTTGGTGTGAAGATCAGTAGTGCTGAGAAAGAATGGAAAAGGTCACCATTTGCTTACAGGAATTCTTTAGAATGTAGGACTACTGTAAACTACTTTCTACAAGCCATCTCTATGTGTATGTGTTAACATACATGTTTCATGTGTTTTAAGTGGGTGGTTTTTTACAAGGATGAGACCTAACACACAGAGGCAGTGCGTGCTGTAGAAATGCTGTTGCTGAATGGCTTTTAATCCTTCAGTGCTATATTCAAACAGAAAACCTAACTCTAAGTCATGTTTCAATTTGACTTCTGAGAAGGCAATCCAAAAACCTCTATGCAACTTGTAGTCTGAGCACCTTTGCTGGGCAGAATTTGAGTAGTGGTGATTGTGCAGTCAGGACTGATGGTTCTGTATTGTACTCAGTTTGTATAACTATGTATTAATGTTTAGGATATATTTTCTCCCTGGGATGCCAGTGGGACACAGGGAAGCTTACTCATTGTTCAGTGAATAAGCAGTTCCTCTTCAGATGTCTTTTTGAGAGAGCAGGAAAATAGACTATGTTTTTTGAACAGAGCTGAAAGGAAGGATATGGGCTCGATGCAGGCATTGCTAGATGTGTATGGGGTTTGGGACCTTATTGTACTTGAGGTCAAACTAAAGAATTGCAATTGTCCTCTGGCTTTGAATTGTTGCATGTGGTCTAGGTCCCACTGAGCCAGCTGAAAGCTCAGCTGTTTACCTCCTGGCACCAGGCTTTGGCGTTGGATATGTGACCATTCTGGTGTCTGCATTCCTAAGATTTGTAAGATTTTTCAACTAGACACCCTATTATTTGTAATAACAAAAGTTTCTGGAAAAGACAAGCCGTTAAATTAGGACATGGCACCCTTTTTCCTTATTGTAGAGTCTCAGGAGAATCCCTTCCTTATGTGAGGATGTTGTGTCCTTTCATGTAACAGTGTACTCTTGAAGGGGCACATAGCAACTGAAAGTTTTCTTTTGGTCATAAATTATTACCTTAGCAGTAAATTAAAGAATATTTAACTGATGCTTTTTTTCTCTTGCATTTCAAAATAAATTGAATTTGGAAGCCCCTCTGTCCTCTCCAATATTGCTGTAGTGTAACAACATAGTGGGATTAACTGTTTTGAAGCCTGTTACTGGCTGTTTATTTACTTTGGATTTCACTTTTAGAGAAATAATGTTTTGGTGTCTCCTGAACTACTTGTGAAGTGAGGTATCTTTGCTGTTTCTGTTCCTTGGAATCACAGTCTTTTCAGAAGTACACATACAGGGATGATCTCAGTCTCCTTAAGCTAAGAGAGGCTAAAGCCTCCTACTGAATCTGCTTTATTTACATTGCTCAAGGTAATTCTTTATCTTATGAGTTATGGACCATGCACTGAATAAATGTAGTGTCCCAAAAATATTCTTTATTTCTCTATAGAGTATTGCTGTGCAACACTTCCATGTTTGTAAATGCTTTTATATAAGGACAGTACTGGAAAATGTGGTAATAGTTGTATCATCAGCAGTTGCTGTTAATGGCTTAAAATGTTTAAACTATGTGTATTGCTCTTAAGGAGAAACTCCTCAAGAAAGGATGTTTAACTGTTGGAATAACTTGCTGTTTGAACCTAAGTGCTTATAAGTAATTTTACCAAGTATTTAATTGAGCTTTTTCTTCATTGGAGGGAGTTTAATTTCAGTCTGTAGACTGCAGTCTCTTTGTTAGTACGTTTAGTATTTTGTCACTCTTTTGCCAACCTCTTTTTAGATAGAACCAAGGCTAACTAAGAGTGATGTTCTGTGCTAAGGTAAAACAAACAAACAAAAAAGGAAAGTTGAATGGCAATAATTAAACGAAGATTAAAAAGAAAGTAATGCAGTTAAGCTCTTAGAGTTTCTTAATGAGTTTGTTCTGCTGTTCCTCAGACAGCTTGTGACCAATTCATTGCTTTTTTTCTTTCCTTGACAGTGACTAGCAGGCACTGTGCCTGGTTTTAATGCTTTGTTTCTCTAGTATCTTGAAATGCTTGCAGTGTTCCTGATAAATTTATTTGCTGACTTAGTTTGGTGATAACTAAAATTCATGTGTACAATGGGGAATCTTGAGAGTTCTCGTGTATGTACTGTCCTTTTGTGCTGAATGTTTCTTTGGGTGAGGAGCAGGTGCAGTCTGCATACATCCCTAGCTTACCATTAGATGCCTTGCCAGGTGTGCATAGCAGCACCTGCTGTGCTTGAACAGTGTTGATGCTGAGGGAAATCTAAACTATGATGTCTGCCCTATTTGAAAGAATAAAAGCTGTTTTCCAGGGTACACCAGACGAGTTTCAGCCTCCAAGTCTTTGTTCTATTTATTTACTTTGCATTTTTTTGCAACACCTAATTACGTTTACAATTTAACTTACAATAAAGAATCTGTACAAGAACTTTTTAACTTAATGTTTTATACACATTCCTTTGATAGTAAATCAATCCCAGTATTCAAGTACTAGAACATCAGGAAACTGAGATATGTAAAAGCCTTTTATACCTTTTTAATTATGGGCAAGAGCATAAATTTGACTCTGTGATGCAAAGTTTTATACAAATCCAGTATAACATGTTCTCCTGCTTTCTGCTGGAACACGGTTTAATTTTCCTTCATAGTGTCTGGTACGGTGCTGTGTTTTGGCTCTAGGAGAAAAACAGTGCTGATAACATGGTGATGCTTTAGTTGTTGCTGAGTGGTGCTGAGCCAAGAACGTTCCAGTTTTTGGGTGTCTTATACTGTCTAGCAAAGGGGCTGGGGGGCATAAGCAGCTGGGAGGGGACAGCACCAGGACTGCTGACTTAAACTGGCCAAAGGGATATTCCATGCAGTATGATGTGTGAAAAAAGCTTTGAAGAATGGTGGAGAATTGGCTGGGTTGGCAGCTGATGCTCAGGGACTGTCTGGGAATCCATTGACAGGTGGCGTGCAGTTTTTTGCATTACTTGTTGTGTGTATGTATTATTATCATTTGTTATCTTTTTTTTCCTCTTCTTAGTTTTTATCTCAAGCTACAAAATCTACTTTTTTTTTTAATTCTCTTTACTATTGCACTGGGGTGAGTGAGCAAACAACTGTGTGGTACTTAGTACCTGCCTGGTTAAAACATGGCACATATCCCTTGAATTTCTCCTTTAAGAACTTAGCTTTGTTTTTTAATTTTGATGTTGGAGATCAGTAAATCAAACAGAGCAGATATGCTATGTTTTGAGAATTGAATCCTAACTCTGTTCTGATGAAATACCAAGAGAGCCAAATCTATTAGATGTATGTCTTCGTGGCAGTTTACTTAGACATAAGGATCTCAGCAGGTACAGATTATCATAGTTGACTCGTGACCAACCTCACAACAAAATCCTTAAGAACTGCTTTGTCCTTACTAACACTTAGCAGTGTGTGTGCATTGCTCTGATAGCTAGGATTGTCCACAGTTCCATTTAGTGTGAGGTTAATCTCTTCAAATTCTTCCTTTCTATTAAATTCTGAGAGTGCTTTCATCCTTCTGGACATATTAAGCCTGACCCAAGTACAGGACCTTGCATGCGGCCTTGTTGAACCACGTGGGGCCACTTCTTGAGCTTGTCAAGGTCTCTTTGAATGGCATCCTTTCACTCCAGTGTGCTGAATGTAATGTAATGTAATGTCATGAAGTAGGTTTGGCAGTGCAAAAACCAAAAGGGAAAAAAAACCTCTCAAATATAGGATGAGGTAAATCTTTGATAGATGCCTAGCTTTTTTTTAATAATGTTTTGGAAGTTATGCTGGTGAGTTATTGTTCTTTTTTCCCCCCTATCTTTGGTAAATGACAGAGATTGGAACAGGAGACCAGATCTTGACCTATTGATTCAAATTTTATTTTTATTTTTTCTCTTGAAATAAAAAATCTAAACTTCAAGGAATCAAAGGAGTTCTCAAGTTGTTTACAGAAAAAAAAGATGATAATTTTATTGCAGCTTCTGCAATGTCATACACCTTTTAGAAGGAAATTCACCTAGTTTTAGAAGAGTGGGCTTATAATATGAGCAACAGGCAGGCACTTGTATATATATGCATGTGCTAGTTAAAACCTAGCTATATGTGTCTTTGTGAACAATATCTCACGCTTGTATGTGATAGATGCTATATTCTGTTTTGTACCTAATAAACAACTTTAAAAATGAGTTGTATTTCTTGACGTCCTAGAAGATACAGAAATGTAGGCCTCGTGGTACTTTCCTCAAAGTTGCCAGCCAGCCAGCTCAGTTATGGTTGGGCCAGGCTGTTCTACAGAATAACCAAGCATGCAAATGTATCTTGTTTTTCTGTCTAGCACCAAGACAAATACAACATGACCCTTGTGCATATTCTAATGTGATTCTATTCTGAATTAAATCCTAGGCTAACCTTTGCTTTGTGGATGTAGACAACCATTTCATCGAGCTGCCAGAAGACTTGCCCCAGTTCCCAAATAAACTTGAGTTCGTACAGGAAATTTCAGAGATACTAACGGCTTTTGGAATTCCTCCTGAGGGAAACCTTCATTATAGTGAAAGTGCTTCAAAGATGAAGAGCCTCAGAGCATGTGACCTGGTTTCTGATAAAAGAAATGGGAACGTAGCAGGATCACCTTTGAATTCCTATGAGTTGCTAAAGGAAAATGAGACCATTGCAAGACTCCAAGCACTGGTTAAAAGAACAGGTGTGAGCCTAGAAAAGGTAAGCTATGAAACTATCAATACACTTTGAGGGCTTGCAGCAATGAAGGTGTGAGGTGATGATAAAAAGACTGGGTTTGTCTTCACTAGAAAGAACATAATTTAACTTGTTCACAATCCTGATGGATGAGCATTCAACTCTACAGCACCTATGGAAAGTTTTGGTAGCTTCTAAAGTGTTGTTTTTTTGTTTTGCTTGTTTGTTTTGGCCAAGATAATGCACTTAAAAATATACCTTGCCTTGTTTCTTTTTAGTTTTAAGATTTATTATAAAATTACATTACTTTCTTATGGTTTATATATCTAAAACTGGCATGAAGTTTACATTCAGCCTTGTTTGCTGCAGTTATCTTTCTCGTTATATGTGCTTTTACTTGAGCATTATCTGCTTGCCACAGTGCATGAATAGTGAATTCTTGTGGCTTTTTTTTGATACCTAATTGCCATCAAAACTAATATGAACAGAGTATCCAAATCTTACATTGCTGTTTTTATAAACCTTAGCCCATGCAATGTATAAAAAATGCATTTTATTTCATTAGAGATTACTCTGGACTGTGTAGTGATGAATAGTGAATTATGCTGCTAAGGATTTAGGTTGTAGGAAATGGGCTAATAGACACACAGCTTATTTTGATTGTGCTTATCTATTCATTTCAAAGATTTACTAATGAACCTGTAACGGTATTTAGCTTGGACTTAAGTCATGTACATACTTCTGTCAAATATTCTTGTAAACCCAGAATACCTGACAAAGCACCAGTAGGTAAACATGCTTCTTGTGTGTGTGTGTTCCCTTACTTCCTTAGCTGGAGGTGCGAGAGGAGACTAGCAGCAAAAAGGATCTTAAAATTCAGTGTGATGAAGAGGAATTCAAGATTTACCAGCTGAATATTCAAATCCGTGAAATTTTTGCCAACCGCTTCACACAAATGTTTGCGGATTATGAAGTATTTGTCATTCAACCCAGTCAGGACAAGGAATCTTGGTTTACAAACAGGGAACAGATGCAAAACTTTGATAAAGTAAGTTGTAATAACAAGACAGAATTCTATTTAGAAGCTGTAACAGTATCTAAGTTTAAGATTTTTTTTCACTGGGTCATAAAATGGAAAACAGTACTTTCAAAGTTCAAACTTTCCACAAGTTCCAGTGTTCCTCAAAAAAGACACAACCAATGTACTATTCAGAAAAAGTCGTTACATGCACACACTTGAAGATGCTCTTTTAAGGATGCTGTAGAAAAAAATAAGTCGCCTAGAAAGTCTCACTTCGTGACTAATATCTGCGTTATTAGTGAAGATGGTTTTGTTTATTTGGTTTTATTTTTAACCAAAAGTATTGCTGAATATGTTCATGAATAAAGTCATGATACCACACAATGCTGACATACATTTGTGCCAGCTGTATCCTAGCTTTTTACTTGTGAAACACGAGACCTGGCTCTTCAAATTTTATTAGTATGTTCTTTGTTGGAGATCAGATGTTTGTCAGCAGGATAGGCAGTGTGGGTGGAGGTTATGTCGAATCACTACTTGCTAAAAGGCTAATCAGGTTTCCTTCAAGTCGTGTGGAAAGATTCTCATCGGCTTTGAGCTCCTTCAGAAGTGTGTAATATTCACACCTGTAGCACTGTTGATGCAGGTTGCTGGGATTCAGTTGTAATTTTTAGAAATTTAAGGGAATGCTAAAATCACAGCTTAAAAATTACTGTGCTGTGTTGTAGGTGATGGTTACAAAGGTGAAGATCTCCTCTGACTTTTTGAGGATTAAGCTGGAGTGTGGAATAAAACTAGGCTTTAAATGGTTTCAAAGCACTTTAATGCACTCAGATTAGATAAACTAGTATCTCTGAGGACTCCCAAACATTCTTATTTCTTGTTGTTAGGCATCTTTCTTGTCAGACCAGCCTGAGCCTTACTTGCCCTTCCTCTCAAGATTCCTGGAGACACAAATGTTTGCATCTTTTATTGATAATAAGATCATGTGCCATGATGAAGATGATAAAGATCCTATTTTGAGAGTATTTGATTCAAGAGTGGATAAAATTAGGCTGCTGAATGTTAGAACACCAACTCTGCGCACATCTATGTATCAGAAATGCACAACCATTGATGAGGCTGGTAAGAAAAATAAGCCCCTTTCTTGAAGCTTCGGAAAGTTTGTTGTAGATATTAAGTTAAAATTAAGCAACAATTCATTTTTAAAAAAAATGAGCTACGAAGCTTAAGTGGTGAACTAAGCGTTATGTAGGAAGCTGAGATTAAGTTCACCAAAGGGTAATTGAAATTAACTATTTTTCTGCATGCTTTTGCTAGGAAAAAATGGTTTGACTTTAAACATTGTTCTCCTTTTGGTGATGATTCTGTGATGCTTCATGTGCTCATGTATTACTGTACCTGTTGGGGTTCATGAGAAACTTTTTGTCTCCTTAAATTTGAGATCTGCTTTTAATTGAAGAGATGTGATTATAGATTAATGTCTGCTTAAGATAGATGTTTAATAAAGAATTCTAACTTTCTTACTATTTCAGAGAAATCAATTGAGTTAAGACTAGCAAAAATAGATCACACTGCAGTCCATCCACACTTGCTGGACATGAAAATTGGGCAAGGGAAGTATGAACTTGGATTTTTTCCCAAACTTCAGTCTGATGTTCTATCCACTGGACCAGCAAGCAACAAGTAAGCTTGGACAATGGGTTCTGGATCTTTGAGAGATCATAGAAATAATACTAAAGCAGAGATACTGAAAAGGAAATTCACTGTTCTCTTTTTTCAAAATGAGAACGGTTCAGAAGGGTAATATTTGTGTTGGATATGGCAGATTTTTTTTGTTCGTTTTAAATCTAGACTTCTAGAAGGAAATTTACTTTAGAAAACCCAGTTATAATTGGGGTTCTGAGTGACATTTAACTGCTGTTGGTATAAAAGCAAATCTTATTGGAACTCTGTTAAGAGCTAGTGAATGTGTTAGGATATCTTCATATAGAAACTTCATTTAAAGAGGAAGAAGGTGTAAGCTTTAACAGGATATCATAAAGAAATGGAAAAGTATGAAACAAATGTATGTAGTGTGATTTTCTGAGTTACTCTGGTTCAAGGTTGGTTGCTTCTACTGAGATTTTGTGCATATTTGCAGACGTGCTTTATCTTCCACAATTGTACTCAACAGACAATGAGACAAACTTTTTATTTTTCCTGTTATCCTTCCCCTTTACCTAACTCTTAACATTTGCTGACAAAGTCCTCTATCTGTAGGTGGACAAAGAGAAATGCTCCTGCACAGTGGAGACGGAAGGATAGACAGAAGCAACACACAGAGCACTTACGTCTTGACAACGATCAGAGAGAGGTAAAAGCTGTTCAACTATAGAGACCTGATTTTATTTTTATTTCTAGGTTTTTTTTTTCCTAATTGCCTGAATAATAGTCTGTAACAATCATGGAAAGTCTATACAGTTACTTACAGTTTATCTCTACTTTCTCATATTTGTACAAAGTACCCCATCCTTAGCAAACCAAAATGAACTAGTTTCTGAATTCTAAAATTTTGGCCGTTTTTACTCCCATCTCACGACAAATTTTTTCATCCCCAACACAGGTGAGCTCCCTAATAATGTTGTCATACTCATTTAAGTTTTTGAAAAGGGTGGGAGAATTAAAAGACTTGTAGTCATCTATTTCCTGTTTCTACGTAATTTTGTGTATTTGATAGAGGAAAAATAAGCACCTCTGGAGTTTGGTTTATTTCATCCTAAAATCAAAAGTGTTGTCTTTTGAAATTGTGTATTTCTTTATGTGGACCGTGAAGGATGTCTTAAGGTGACAAACTGACATGCAACCTTATGCTAAGGTGTGGGAATGTGGACCCCACCAATACCATTGGGTTTGTGTCTGCTTATTTTTACATCACATGGTCTATACATATTAGTTCTTTTGTTTGATTTTACAGCGGGTCTTGTATTCAAAGTGTTTTGCCATAATATGTACTTCTCCCTACTCTGATTTGTTGAAGAAAGAAAGCATTCACAATGAAAGGAAGAGATTGGAGGGGGGCTAGTGTTGCACTATTGCAGCGTTTCTCTGAAGACATCTTGCCAGCTCTGCTTGGATGTAGTGCACTTACAAAACAGCAGCCAGCACTGTGTAGATAGCAGCTGGGTTTTGGAGCTGAATAGCTGTATTGGCAGTGCAGAACTCTGATGCTGACATAGCCACTTTTGAAAACAACTTCTCTCATCGCTGCTCCTACAGCTGACGTTGCTTTTCTATGTGGTGAAGGCATTTTGAAAGATCTGGGTGATATGGACCTCATTAGAGTAGAAGGTTTCTGCTTCATATGATACAATCTGTAAGCTGTTACACTGGATGTTGCTATAAGGGTGATTCTAAGAATAACCTATTTTAAAAATTTCAGAATTGATTTGTACTTAGTAACCCCAAATACTTACTTTTTCTTAAAAGTATGTAGTTTATTGAAGATAATATGCTCTTGCATTGTTAAATGTCTTCAGAAAAGCGTCACTCGGAATTTTAATGTAATCTTGCATCTTAACATTGAAATGGAACTGAACAAAGAAATTATTTCATGCTGTATAGTAGTGGTGAGTTTAGTTGCCCTTCTAGTGTTACTTATTTCCAGTGTTTTCTCATTGGTTTGTGAAAGCTTTAATCAAGCGTAGTGTCATCCGTGGCCATGCACTGGAAGGATGCCTGTGTAATGAAAAAAAGCTGCAAGTAATTGCTGGTTTTGCTCAGATAACTCAAAAGTATTTTTAATATAGAATTTGCAGAAGTGAGCAATAATTGATTTGTAACCTCATTATTGCTTTTGAAATTTTAATGTTTAGCACATGTGAACTTAGGAGATTTTAATTAGGTAATTGCAAAGATAAAAGGGCTTTATGCTGTACTTGTTAATTATGTTACACTGCTTGGATGTTCACCTCTATCCCAGGTGAATCAAAGACTTTCATATTAAGCCCAAAGAATGGGGAGGAAGCTCTTCTGAGATAAATGCTGAGGATCAAACGTAAGCAGGAGGCAGTGGTTGCAGAATGCAGTGTTATAAGACAAATTGAAGCTTTGAGACAGTCAACAAAAATCCATGTCAGTGAAGCTTAGTGGCTTCTAAGTTGCAAATATTTGTACACAATGGAGGGCATAGTTTACACCAATCTAACAATTGAATATCGACTCTTCTTTTTTCCTTTCAGCTTTGTTACTTATTATGTTTATTGCCTTGGAATAATATGGAATTCTACATTGTATTATGTCTTCATTCTTTTCTCCTTTTCTGTTTTGCATGCTTGCTTTTGTTACTTCGTACGTGCTTACCAATGCACTTTACATGGTTTCTTTGACTTTTTGCTGCCAACTTGTCCTGCCAGCACCTGGACTTTTCCATGCCAGAACTTCAGTTGCAGTTATGTTTAGACTGGGACCAGCATGATTGGCCCTTCATGCCCTCTATAAAATCTGTGTCAGAGCGTTATCTGGTATGTCGAGTGCACAATATGAATGTAAGCATAGTTCTGGATAAAGATGCATAGTTTTTATCAGCTCTTCAGTGCAAGACTGGAAAAGGAGTGATTTCCTTTCTTTGCTAAGGTTGCATCGTGTTTGATAAATGAAATTGACTGTTAGCTGACTTTTCAGTTGATAGTTATTTCAGTGTAAGCTAGATAAAGTTCTTACTAATCTGAAATATGTACTAATCTTGAGTATTCTGTCAGTGCCTATATAGGACCTTATCTTTTATTCACAGCTAGCTATGCTCCATCCAGACTGTCATCAGCAGTTTTTCAAAACATTTGTCAAATTGTCCTCTCTGAGGTAAAAACAATGGTAACACCATGATGGCAGAAACAGGAGCAGTGTTGCTCTTTCAGGTACAGTCCAGAAGATGATTTTGCTCTAAACGCAGATGATTCACAGCTGAAAGCTGCTAGTAGCATTTTTCAGCTGCTTCCTCAAAGTCTGACATGGTGGGCAAGAAACAGGAGATCTGCAGAAATGAGTATAGGTTTCAGATGTTGTCAAAGTCCAGGCAGAGTTTTCTTGCAATCCACCTGTAGACCACAGTCTGCCATTTGAATTGTCTTTGTCTGGGTAATTATTACAGGCTTGCATTTTATAGAAGAAAAAAAAGGTGTAACCTATTCTCAGTATTGAAGGGATTCGCTGAATTTCTATGCATCTAAATATCCTGGGCAGTTTGTATTGTGTTTTTGTTGTTCTGTAATGTGTGTTCTAATACTAGTTAACATAAGTGGAGATTTGATCTCCAGTGAACTTACACATTGAGTCCCTGCCCAATGTTATGCTGAATATAACGAGGGAACTCTTCTGGAAGAGACTATGATCTATTCCTCCTTGTACTGAGGTGAATTGTAAAGATAGATTTACTTTCTCTTGGTACAGTAGTCTCGCTTACACTTTTATCTGTTTTTATCAATTTTCTGTCCCAATACAGAAGTATATCCAAGAAGCCAGGAACTTGGGCAGCACTATTCGGCAGCCAAAGCTGTCAAACCTCTCTCCGTCAGTAATTGCACAAACTAACTGGAAGTTTGTAGAAGGCTTGTTGAAGGAATGCCGAAATAAGGTAACTCAGAGGAAATTGATCAAATAGACAGACTTACAATGGAGAATGTAAAATGACAGATTGAATATCCTGATGAGTCCTTGTCATTTTGCTATGTCTATTTTAGCATATTTAATTTATCACATACGAGACTATATTATTAATCAAGAGAGAATGTACCAAAAGTGGAATTCGTCATGAAAATGTTGAGCTGTGTTACAAGGTTTTGCTGCTTGGCAGTTAGTATGTCAAATTTTGGCCCACTGTTCTGGTTATTCAGATTATTCACCCTTGTGAAAAAATTGGCTCTACAGCAATCAACACTGATGGCTTGATAAAAGGATAAAAGAAATGAAGTCCAGCACAAGTTACTACGTATGCTCAGTTATTCTACCAAATCATTGTTATTGTATGTTCCCTTGTTTATTTAAGAAAGGTGAGTGATCTTAGAAGATCGTTGAAAAGAACTAATTCTCTTTTACTTTGTCATTTTCAAGACCAAGAGAATGTTGGTTGAAAAAATGGGACGAGAAGCTGTGGAGCTAGGTCATGGTGAAGTGAATATCACAGGTGTAGAAGAGAATACCCTGATAGCTAGTCTGTGTGACCTCTTAGAAAGGATATGGAGCCATGGTCTGCAAGTCAAGCAGGTGAGAAACAAATATTCTTGCATGTTTCAGGGCATACTTCCATAAATTCACACTTTTCTGTTTTCAGAGGATACCTAGTGTGTGTATATAGATGTATTGAATACTTGACACCTCTAGCATTTTTTGGTATCAGTCAACAGTCTGTTATGTATCGGTCAGTCTCAACCTTCTGCTCTGGGGAAGGTGCAAATACATATGCAGATGTGTTTCATAGATGACTTTTTAAAAGATTTCTTTCCATTTTACCTGTTTGTTTTGTTTTGTGGTGGTGGTTGTTTTTAATAGAACAGTAAATAAAAATATATCTGTTCTTAATACTTCTGTTATTGAAGTTGCATAGGATTTAATGCAACGTATGCTAAATGCATTGTTGGTAGGATATGGTGTGGGGAACTTTATTTTGTGAGGAGTAATTTGGTTTTTAAAAGTAAAAGCCATGCTATTTTGTTGATGAATGGTCTAGAGATGCTAGTTAGAGGGGTTGGTTTTCATGTGAAACAAGTAGCTGGTTGTCACTTAGTGGGATTAGGTGGAGTTTTACTGGCCTTTATCCTCTCCTCATTTGTACAAATGCATAACAAGGAAAGTAATGATTTGTAACATTTCTCTTTCCTTTTTCTTTTCCTTTTTTAAAAAAACAAAAGTAGTATTTGCAGAATAAGTGTACATAATCCAGACAATTGTAATTCAGTATTTCTTTCCCCAGCACTCAAACACCAGTGTTTAAATCTGCTCTCCTTCAGACTTTTATAGCACTAGTTTCTCTATGTGAAGATTTATCATGTGACTCTCTCCCTTCCCTCTTGTATATTACTTAGGATAGAAGCTGTACTGCTTTCGTCTTAGAAGACAGAGCATCAGTATACTCTGCTTCAACCCAGATTTGGGCCTTTCAGACCACCAGACGGCCAACCCTACATAAGGTTAATGCTTTGGATTGATTGCAGATGTTGGCAAACAGTGCTGAATGGTGGAATAAATAGAGTGATGGAATATAATAGAGGCCTGATGGAGGAAGTGCTGTGCGTCTAATACTATGATCCACAGTAAAATATACACTACTTATTCTCTGTGTAGTCTGGCCTTTATTAAATATTCAAAGCTGGCTGTTTCATACATTGATTTTACTTTATTTTTCAATAGTGAGCCAAGGAAGACTCTTCTTTCTCAATTGACGATAGTAATGAGGATGGTTTTTCCTTCTACCAGTCCTTGCTTTTACCTCTTCCCTCCCAATGAACCCTTACAGTCCAACGCTTTTTACCTACTGATTTTTCCACATGCAAAGTGAATCTGCACCTTCCTTTGCCCAAAGCAATGTGGGGGAGTTGTAGAAGACCTTGATTATTCCCTTGCCTGTTTTCTGTCCCACTGCTTTCCTTAGGCTGTCTTCCTTTCCCCTTTAGAAATAGTTGGCATCATCATTGCTATTGGAAGTTAAAGGAGAGTAACGTGATGGTAAAGGAAGTGAGCAGATATATACTGCATGAGTTCTTACATTCATCATGATTGTTGACATCTATTTGCTGCAGGATCCTTTGCTTGCTGCTTTCTGTGATCTGTTGCAATTCTCTTTGTCATGGCAGCAAGATGCTGAATACTAGACTGTGCATGTGTATGTTTATTCAAATAAACATCATTTTCAATGTAACCATTCCCTGGTGATATTTTCATAGTCTCTTTTTATATTTTTAAAAGACTCACAGTTTTTGGCTTCCCATGTTGGATCTGTCAGGTATTGAGGCGCTGAGCTTCTCTGAACTCTTTTGATAACTTCACCACTAAATGCATAGTTTTTAATATATTTCTCTCAACACAGATGTAAAAGGCAATTTCTGCTTTATCTTCTGGAGACATGCTGCTTCATTTTGGGGTAGATGTAATGTCTTGATAAGAGCCCTTAGTAGCACTGTAGAGAGCTGTGGAATTGAACTGATTAAAGATGTTTAAAGGTTTAAATTGTTTATTGTTATTTTTTAACTTTCAGAGTTGAGTTATAATTACAGTATTTCAGGAAGGTACTCACATGATTTTTAGATGACATTGATAGTACTGAATGGGCAACTCTTGCTTTACTGTCATGGTTTCTTTCTGCACAAAATTGTAACTAAAAGCCTGGCTTTATGATGACTTCTTCTGAAATGCAGAATTGCTAAACATTTCCACCTAACATAGAAATTTAGGAAGATAATAGCTAATAGTAAGGAATTTCCTTTGTGTATCAGTCAATTCATGTGCTGGAGGGACCCTGCTCAATTAATGCTGCTTTCTGTAGCTTTGATGCCTTTGATTTATCATGCAGAGTATTTTAGGGTGAGTCCAAGAATCTTAAAATTTGTCCATGAAAAATTTCCTGCTTTCTATTTTAAGCCACCAAAGGTTGAAGGAAGCAACATAATGTGAGAGATGCACCTTTTAGCATTACTTGTCAGATATGTCTTGACCTAAATACTGCATCCCAAACTTTAAAGTTGTTTTTATAAAAAAGTACAGAACTGCAGCCTGTATACTGACCAGCTCTTGTTGTCTGTCCTGTGGTTTTGGTTTTTTTTGGTATGTGTGAGTTGTTGGATTTTTGTTGTTGTTTGTTACTGTGTTTGTAATTGTCTAGGTTGTTTGCTTGATGAAATTGAGGGAGATCTTACGAGATTCTGAAAACTGACAACATGCACCTGTAGCCCTGAATTACCCTGATGGGGACAGATGTGCAAAAGACAAAAGACTTGATGTGGGTATGAGATAGTTTACTCAGGCTGGTACTGTGTCTCTTGCCAGCTCGCTGCTGGAGGTGCAGGGAGGAAGAACTGCATAAGAACGGTGACAGTCTCAGACTGAAAACTCTGCTTATGCATTAAGTTTTATAAGGCTTCAAATGTTTTTATCTCATGTCAACAACCAGTGACAAATGAAGCTCAGCTGACTTTCCTCTGTCATTAGATCCCGATAGTTTTTGACTTTGCTTTTCTTTCTCATCCTCTTTACAGCTCCCAAGCACCTGCAACTTTTGTCTTTTTGTGTTTGTTTCTAAATCAATGAGGACAAACGTATTTGAAGCTGATATTTTCTATGATGATTTGAACTTTTTTTATTCAGCTACTAGTTATTTTTTTTTAATTGAGATCCTGTATGTCACAGTAACTAATATATTTTTAATTTTAGGGGAAGTCTGCTTTGTGGTCTCATCTGCTACATTACCTTGAAAACAGGCAGAGGAAAACAACATCAGGCAGTTTCAGTACCTCAGGTAAGATTAGCTTCTACTAGAATATGATAATAAAAAGAAACAACTACTAAGATCAGCTTGCAGATTTGCACCATGCAAATTGTCTCCCTAGACATAGCCTACGCTTAATGTAACAGAATCAAGCATTCTGTTTGCTACAGAATTAATATGGTCATGGTGTATTGTCTCAGTATATCTTGTGAAAAGTAAACTTATTTGCATTGTGCCTACTTATTTGTAATTGCAGTATTCAGATACCAGGAATATCTGGTGCTTCAGAGGTGCATTAAAATGGATCTGCTCCAGTGTAACATCCTCTGTATGACTCCTAGTCACTGCCTGATTGGCAAAGCATATTATGTCATAGATGGGGTTAGGGGAACACATGGAAGCTCAGATTTGTGTTGTATTTAAAAAAAAAAAAAAGAATAATTACAAAATTCAAAACACGCTTAAAAAATGCATTGGTAAGATTTGACATAAGTGTTGTATTGAAAGTAATATTGCACGTAATATCCATTGGTTATGTTTCCCCAGTTGGAGACATGAAGCATAATTTATGGACAGAATAATGGATTTTTATCAGGTTTTGGATTTCTTTTTTTTTAAAGTTGCTTTAAGCAAATTACTTAGCAGGACTAGCATGCCCAAGGCCCTGAGAGTATAAGGGACTCCTGAATGTCCCTTGTTCTTGCACACAGGGTTTGGTTTTTTTATATACCAGGTGGAAGGTAGCCCAGTCTTATGGTTTTTTACTATCAGGGAATCAGATTTGAGGACTGTAATATGTGGCATGATTCTGGAGTGAAATTTGATAAGAGTAGTAATGTTGCTTAAAACACAAAATGTGGTAGTTTGAAAACTAGTGGTGTTACAGGAGTATGCACATCAGTTGAACGTACAGTTGTGTACGGAGTAAAATATGTTGAACACAGTTTTCAAGTCTCAGCATTGCCTTTCAGTTTGACCATGTGGGAAAGAAAATATGGTAGTCTGTAGAAAATACTGCTTGACTGGTATTTGTCTTAAGTCAGTTGGTGTCATATCAGTTTCAGCTGAATTGGATCTCATTAATGTATTAATGCTCAGCATGTGCTGATCTGTGTAAGCATCTTTTCTAGATATCATTTTCTCTTTTTATTAGTAATGGAAATATGCCATGATATCTTTGCAAAGCTGTAGATCACCAAAAAGAAAAAAATGCAGTAGGGACCACAACTTACGAGTCTTAATTTTAAAATTAATCAAGCAAAAACAAACGACAAAAAAACCTACCCCTTTCTACATGCAACTTGGTATTAATTTACCTTTTTTGTATTGATTTAAGAATCGTTAGGTGGATCTCTACTAACATGAGATTCTGTTCTTTTGGATTTAGGAATACTACTTGATTCAGAAAGAAGAAAGTCGGATACCAGTCCAGGCATGTCACCTCTCAGAATCTCTCTGGTCCAGGATATGAGGTGAGTTTGAGTTATTAAAAACAGTGCAGATGGAAAAAACTCCAAGAAATGTGCATACATTTGTTTGTGCATAATGTTTACTGTATTGAAAAGGCTGCATGGTTCATACACCAAAATAGGGGAATTTGGGTGGAAACCTGCTGAAACGTTTTGAAAGTCTATAGTGCAACCTTCTCACTGACTTCTACAAAAGCATATTTCATACTGGGGAGACTTGACATTGTCATGACTACTAGTTTATAGAAGTATTCTGAATCAGTTTTTGTCTTTTCATAATTCTGTATTGTTTTATTTCCGTAGAGACGTGGGTGTAACGTATGTATTTTCCTAATTGTTTCCAAGTTGACTTGCATAGCTTTGAGCTAAATCTTACTTCTGTAAATTAAAAAAAAAGAAAAAGAATTTGTCTAACATTAGCTGTTGTAGTATGAATAAGCGTGCATAACTGACTTCTGCTACATGTCCTTTTTTCAGCACATCAAAAAACAAGATGCAGAGCTTCTAGATTCAGCTTGAAGAACTTTTTTCTTTGCCAAAATACTTTTTTTTTTTTTTTTGAGAGTGAATTGAGGTTTTTCAAGGGTCTTTCTTGTCTTTTCAAAGCATACCCTTTGTGTGTTTTCTGTTAGAAAAGCTGTTTTTGAGCATTGAAAGACAGTATTTAATTTTCCAAAGCACACTGACGTAAATATTGCAGTGATAAGGTCTTTAAATCATGTAAGGCAATAGGAATGCTTTAGAAAACTGCATTGCAGTTTTTTCCTTTTGAGATTCTTACTCTTTTCTAGGTAGATACGCAAATAATTGAGCTATTGTTGAATATTAAGGTGACCACATTTCTTTTTCCAGTAGTTTGCCTGGTATTTTGCATTCTTGGCAAAATCCCTTTTTCAGTCTAGCTTGGTTCAAAAGAGCTTTGAAAATTCTGGGTAATGTTTTTTGTTTTCTTCTTTCAGGCATATCCAGAATATCAGTGAGATCAAAACAGATGTTGGCAAAGCCAGAGCCTGGGTTCGTCTCTCTATGGAAAAGAAGTTGCTCTCTAGGCATCTAAAACAGCTGCTTTCAGATCATGAACTCACAAAGTAAGATGGTTTATCTTGGGCAAAGCTTTTAAAAAGTAATCCTATTTTGTTGTTTGACTTTGCAAACCCTGAAATGCCTTTTCTTTCATCTGCTTAGCAGTGTGCAGAAAGAATGGCAAAGACCAGCCTTTTGTGTCTCTGTACTAGTGTATGAGCTATTTGGTCATGATGATGTAATACTGAGGTTCTTCAGCTACGTAATCAGTTCTGTCAGCTGTAGACTTTCTGCAGCTCTGAGCTGAGAACTTGAAAAATTCCTAGGGGCTCAGGGCTACTTTGCTGAGTCAAAGTTTTATCTTGGTCCTCTTTCTGTAACTGCAGAGTATACTGCTTTGCTTTCCTTAGATTGATTGTCCTTTTTCACAGTGCATGACAATGAGCAGTGATCTTCTTTTATGATTATTGACCTATACTATTATTATTTATTGACTGCATAATTAATAGAAATAGTGGTGGTTGTCACGTGCAAGTGAGCAACTTTAAAAAGTATTTTCCAATCAAAATCAGTGCTTGTTATTTCTTGTAAAATCTTGTCACGGTTTCACAGTTGCAGGTTTTGCAACTAATTCTCTAATTTAATTGAGTAATATATGTAAGTTTGTTTCCATTTACAATGCATTTTTCTGCATAGGGTCTCTTGTAGTGAGAGAAGGCTACAAAGCTGCATCTTTTGATATTTCCTTGTAAAAGAAGTTGCAGTTCTCTGTTGTGTTGCAGTCCTTGCAAAGAATTTGCAACTCAGGACTGAGGGAATAGTAGGAGTCCAAGCCACCTCATCACACGTATGATTTTGGATCTCAGGAGCTCTAAATTTTATAGATTTTTTGGCTATCTCATTGTTATTTTCCTAAAGGCAATTAAAAGGAGCATTAGATTCATCTTTTTTTTTTTTTTTTTAAAGTATGCCCACAGACCTTGCTTTCGAGTGCAGTCAAGTAGTGTGAAACATTGGTCTGATGCACTTGGAGGTTTCAGACTTAGTGTCTGCATAGATTGGCATATTGAATTCTTTTGTCCCTACAAGTATCATTTTTCATTTGTAATTGCTTGCACATTCCTCATAGTTTACCTAATAAATATACATAACAGAAAACATTTCACTACAAGAATCCTGTTACTATGACAGATGATTTGTTTTGCTTTGTCAGAAAACTCTACAAGCGTTACGCATTCCTCCGCTGTGATGATGAGAAAGAACAATTCTTATATCATCTCCTGTCATTCAATGCTGTTGATTACTTCTGCTTTACCAATGTTTTCACAACAATCTGTAAGTATTTGCTTTCCCTGGAACTCTGATCTCCAGATTTGCTTGAGTAGTTACTCAGACTTATAAACAATTCTGAGTAATGTTCTTTCATGTAGCTGTTGTATTTTCTTTCTGGTATCTTTGTACTCTGTTGCTGTTTCTGTAATGCTTTCTGCTGGGCAGTAGTGTTCTTTCCATGTGTTGCCAAAGGCATTTATTTCTAACTTGGTAAATACACATTGAGGATTGCACCAGAACTCTACAATGCAGAACCTTGCTAATAAGGTAGTATAACAAAAAAATTTAGCAGGGCTTATAAAATTGAGGATGGATCTATGTGAGAGCACCCTTCTGGCCCCATGGTAAGAGCTATCCTTGTATATTTATTACAATACCTGTTTGTGTGTATGAAAGACAAAGCAAGCAGAGATAAGCAGAATAGTTTTTGATCTTGTGGGCTGGTGCTGGACAATGTTACAGTCTGGTCTGCTGGATGCTCTTCAGTTATTACTTTAAGACTTATCAGCACAGCAAATTTAAAAAACATCTTAATTCACTCTTTAATGCCACAAGCATCAAACTTGTAAGAAAATCTAACCACCAAATGCTTCCTTGAGGGCACTGACAGCTAAAGAAATGTTAAGGGAGAAACGTATTAAATACTTCAGCTGAAAAGCCCTAACTCTAATCCATTTATGCACTGTAAAATAAAGGCAAATGGCCAGGAAATGCATTGACTATTCAGGTAATTGGGTTTTGTTACAAAAATAGTTTGGTTAATGGGGAGCCATGTATGAGATACTATGTGATTGAAGAGCGTGTGTATTTCCTTCTGTTTTCTGAGTCAAAGAAGGGGCTGTAACTTAGGCACTGGTAGACCAGGGGACCTGAAATTTTGGATGTGTGTGGTGAAGGGGAGAGAAACTATATTGATTTTTAAAATGAAAACATCTTCAAGTTAGCATAATTAAGAGCAATGTGGTAATTCATGTCAGTTGTACCATGTTGTATGTGCACACACACACACACACACACACACACACACACACACACACACAGGCAATTTACAGCTGGGCATTAAGTTGTGTGCTGAACTACAATGTAGTCCTGTATACATGGAGACTGTCTTTACTTGCTCCTCTCTAAGCTGGATACAAGTAACTATCTTCATGACTAGTAAATGGAAAATGATGTGGGACATTGTCCCATCCGTATTTCTTCTGTCATTTGATGGTGTTTTGCTATCAGCTATACTTCTTGATCGCTGTTACATGTATGTTTTCAATTGTCAATCAGTCTTCAGTGAGCAAGTGTTAGTATGATTAAATAGGAGCTCTTACATTTGTGTGTTTTGCTTTGTTTTTAATGTTTCATGGCAGTGAAGGATTACCATATCTTTTTTCTATTCATTAAAGAGGTTCCATAATTATCCTTTTCCCACTTCAGCAGTGTTATTTTTTCGTGTGTTTGCAGTGATACCATACCATATATTGATTGTTCCTAGCAAGAAACTTGGTGGCTCCATGTTTACAGCCAATCCTTGGATATGTATCTCAGGAGAGCTGGGTGAAACAGGAGTCTTGCAGATTCCCAGGAATATATTAGAAATGACTTTTGAGGTATGTATTAAAGAATATAAGAATGCTTTTAAACGTTCTTTTTATTCAGTTCTTAACTCTCCCCTTGCTGTGTCATCTTAATGTACTTTTTGTATCTGTGGTCTGGATGTGGTTAGTCACGCATACCTCCTGTGCCTGTACATAGCAGATTTTACCTATAGATAATACCATGCTCGGAGAAATGACTGACAATTCCTTACTGTATTGATAGATAAGATTTCTGAAAAGATGTCGTTTATCTGATACTTTCTGCTGATCAAAACAGTATTAAAAAAGCCAAACACAACGAAGCAGCAATGAACAAAAACAAATAAAGCAGCTGATCCTTAAAAAGCTCAGAATCAGTCATGCAGTCAGAAAAGGAGAGCCTTGTTTCTGATGGCACATCTCAGCGTGTTCTCCAGTAGTTTACTTATCCAGCATACCGCTCTCTCCTTCTGTTTACTCTGACCAATTCTTTGTTTAATTTGCAGTGCCAGAACTTGGGAAAACTGACCACAGTGCAAATAGGACATGATAATTCAGGGCTGTATGCCAAGTGGCTAGTGGAGTATGTTATGGTCAGAAATGAAATAACAGGGCATACTTACAAGTAAGTATCATCCTGACATTTCCTGTTGGGTAAGTAGAATTTATGCAGGAAGGTGGTATAGACAGGCTTGTTTGCTTAGAAAGGTCTTATCTCCTGGGGCTCCATCTACAGAAGCTGCTACCTGAAGATGTATAAAGGTCATTTAGCTTCTGGCATTAAACAAATCGCGACTCTTACAAAATTAAACAGTTTTCAGTTTGCACATGCTCTTGTCTACCCTCCAAGCATCGGTGGAGGAGATGAGTTCACTGTCATGCATCTTTAAAAGAACGTGCCTTGTGCCCAAGGGAGAAGTAGCAAGTTAGAGCTTGCTGCTTACCAAACATGGGTGGTGTTTTGAGTTAAGGTTCAGCTTTCTAATTGTTAGAGAGGAAAACTTGAACAAAAGCTGTAACACAGTGGCTAATGAGTGTTTGCACAGTGAAAGTAAGGGAACAAGATTTACAGTTGGAATTTAAACTCCTCTGTGTTAAGTGCAGCATGGTTCGATGCCTTGTCCTTTGTTTAGAGAAACTGTCAGGCTCATGTTGAGGAGAAACTGGTGGATAGATCCACTCAGTTCTTCATGAGAGCTTGTGATTAAATGAAGAGGCAAGATTATGTTTTTGGATGCCATTCAGTTTTCTGATTGGGCAAGTTAAACAGATGTCAACACTGGTTCTCAGAAAGTGCTGATGAGCTAGTGAGCACAAGTGCTTTCTGGTGTCTGACTTGATATCCCAATTTCAGTACGTGTGTTGGTGATCTGGTATGTCAGTACATGTTGTTGGTTTCTTTCTTTTGTAGCTTGCCTGCTGTGTTAAGTATTCAATAAAAGCATAGCTATATTTGCCAGCCATCAGTACTTGGTAGTGGGTATTCCATTTCTTCCCTCTGCAGCCCCCAGATCACACACTGCATGTAAGACAAGAGACAAATTCTGCCACTGTTTGCTTTGCGGGTTATCTAGTGCCAAAATTAAGATGAACATGGAGCAGAAAAACTGTTTTACTTTTGCTCCCCCTGCTGGCAAAAGCCAGATCAGATAATTTGTTCATTTGTTGTTAGATGAGCGAAGTATTTCTAATAACAATACTAGCAGAATTTGGATTTTGTGCGACTGCACTTGAAAGTCTTTGGCATGGAATTCAATCTGGATTTAAAGACTCAATCCAAATATCTGTTCTTTGTTCTCAGGTTTCCCTGTGGAAGGTGGCTTGGAAAGGGAATGGATGATGGCAGCTTAGAGAGGGTCCTGGTGGGAGAGCTGCTGACATCCAACACTGAGGTTGATGAGCGGCAGTGTCGAACCCCTCCTTTGCAGCAGTCACCAAGCATGATCAGAAGATTGGTCACTATATCACCAAACAATAAGCCAAGTAAGTGGTGGGGATTGCCTTGTAAGGTCCTGCATTGCTACTTGTGGAAAGCTGCTTGCAACAGAACTGGAGATTTTCTTCTTGGACAGGACCTGTGAAGCTCACTTAGCACAGCTGATCTGCTCTGAGTCTGGCTAACTTCTGAGTTAGAACAGATTGCTCAGGATTTTAGGCACTCAGATTCTTTAAGTCTTCAAGTCCAGGTGTCTCTGGACTCCTCCAGTGCTTAGGTGCATTGCTGATATTTTCTATTTTGTCCTTCCTTTGTGAAATGAGTGTTATGGAGGAAAAATAGAAATTTGTTGTCATGTACTTCACGGTCAAGAAAAATAGTTGTTTCTATTCATGAATATCAGTTTTCTGTTGTTCTGCTTTTATCTCTTTCCTGGTAAGTTGCTTATTTTGCACCCAGGCATACTTGGGATTATAGAAAACTTATCACAGGATGCGTTTCCAAGATGTCAGTGGTCATAATCAAATATCATTTCCATTTTTCAGCTTTGGGCTCTGGCCTGAAAATTCATATAATACATAAATACCATTTCCATCTGTTGTTGTGTTCAAACACCACAGTTATAATTTTGATATTTAAACAAAAAAAAACAAACACATCCATTTCATCTTCCCCCACAGTAAATAAAAGTAGAGTTGGATTTCCATTGCCAATAAGCCAGCACCTTTTCACTAGGTTGGTTCATGTATCTTTTCTGTTTTGTGATATGCACATATCCATCATGCACAGGTTCAACTTTTAAAGTGTTTCTAAAGTGATTGGAAATATTTTTGTATTTTGCAGAGCTAAATACTGGCCAGATACAAGAAGCTATTGGTGAAGCTGTCAATGGCATTGTTAAGCATTTTCACAAGCCAGAGAAAGAGGTGAGGAGTTGTCATCTGTGTAGTGGCGCTCATGTCTGGAAACTCATACTAGTGTTTGAGAATATACAGTAGTAAAAAAAATCTGAATTGGATGAACAGCCATCTTTGTTTGAAAATTCCTTAAGTAGAAGAGAAATGAAGTTGTTGGAATAGTGTGACATCAGTTATGTCATTTTTGCTGCTATCTGGAACATTCTGTTAATTAAATGTAATATTCTGGCATCTGAAGTTAAGTGATATTCTGCCTAGGATTCTCGCTTGTACCACTGTCAGGAATGTTGAGTTCTGTCTAGATTAAATGACATGTTTTCATCCCTATTGACTGCTAAGAAGGCCTTTTTATATCTCTTTTGCATTATCTTGGCTACTTCTGGTATAGTATATAATATACTTATAACATGAAAAGCCACGGGCTGTTTAGAGCAAACCAAAACAAAAAATGACCAAAAAATACCCAGAAATGCTTTCAAAGACTTCACGCTTTTAAGTTGTCTGTGTAATTACTTCATCTGGCACAACAGATGTTTCTGGATATAAGCTTAAAAATTTGCCTTTGTTGAAGAGTCAAATTCCATCTTTTCTGAGAAGTAGCAGTACAGTACTGACTGCCATATATAGATCCCTTGGAGGTTATTAATATTTGCATGTGAATCTTTCCATTTGTTCTGTGCCTACCTTTCTTAAGTTCAGCTTAAATTCATATTCAGTTCAAATTGATTATTTATTATATTTACACAGTAATCCCAAATGAATCATGCATTGGCTTTGCAGACAATTTACCATGATGTTCAAAAGAAGAATTATTATTTCCCTAAGGTTTAAAAATTGATTTAATTGCTGCTTTTCTTGAAAGCCTAAAGCACCTGTTAAAATGGACTGGTGATCTTCATTGCTTAGCAAAAAAAGGAAAACATTTCCTAAATTTCCTGTACACTGGTCATTACTGTAGGTAAAACTTGCACGTTGATCTTCATCTTGACCTTTTTGCATCTTCATTTGAATATGGTGAGGCCCTGAGATGGCTGTCTTTGTTCTTAAGAACGTCAGTGCATTTTGGAAAGCTGAAGACTTGAGAAATGAGCCGTCCTGTCTGGGGTTGTTGTTTGACAGTATACTGTATCTTTGAGTGTCTATTTATTTAAAACCTGGATTAATAAACGCATGTAATCCTTCTGTCTCTAAACTGCCAAACCGAGTTAAGTGCTTTGTGTGTGCTTGGCAGAGGGGCAGTCTGACACTCTTGCTGTGTGGAGAAAGTGGACTTGTTTCAGCTCTTGAGCAAGTATTTCAACATGGATTTAAATCACCCAGGCTCTTCAAAAACGTCTTTATTTGGGACTTCTTAGGTAAGTGTGAGGAAAATATATCAGAATCTGTTTATGTCTTTGAAACATATACGTCTATGTTCCTTATCACTGCCACTGTGTCTCAGCTGGTGTGAACAGCATACTTGTCAGAGGCATCTCTGCAGCTGAATTGCTGTAAGAGCTCTTATGTCCTTGTATTGTTGAAAGAAGAAAGCATCTGTTTTCTGCCAGAGTTGACAGTGTATTTGCACTGTAATTGGCATCTTACTAGTGCTGGTAGTGTAAAACAAGATTCCCTTCTGTGGATGTTTTCAGTGAGGTGGGGATTTGGCACATGGTCACACAATACAACATTGCTAAAGCAATAAATCACACTTGTAAGAGATTGAGTCATCTTATAAAGCACAAGATATCATTCTTGTGCTATTGGTCCTACTGGATGTTGCAATAAGGGATTTATAAGCATACACATTTTTTTTTTTAAACAGAGGTCTAAGTCCTTTGCCCATAGAGCTGAATCAGTCAACTGAATACACAGAAAAGGAGTTGCTTTAAGTAGTATTTCTGTGTTTTGCATAGATGTTTTAACATCAGTCTTCTCCTTATATCGTTACTGCAGCCCCTCAAAATTCAGTAGATCAGCTAGAACCATGTTAGTACTGTTCAGGGAAAGGGAAGTGCAATTCCAGTTTTACACATGAGGAACACAGAACCAAATCACCCAGGAAAAAAAAAACGACCAACAATGCTTGGACATAATCACCCAGGAAATTCAAGGACAAGCTTTGAATCTATGCCTTTGAGCTTGAATTGTACCCTCCGTGACCCTGGTATTTGTGCTGATTTGCTACCTCTCAGATGTGGGCATTGGGCAGTATTCTGGATTTGTAAGCAAGCTTATGGGGAAAGCATTATGGAGTGAGGTATTTTTAAATGTGATCATCTAAATGTGAAGGTCATGTGCCTGATTACTTTATTCCAAGCACTGGAGCTATTTTAGGATACTGTGTATGCTGATGATACTCATTATCTCCCACCATTCCTTTTCAGAAAAAGCACAAACGTATTATGAGACCCTTGAACAGAATGAAATGGTTCCAGAAGAGAATTGGCAGACAAGGGCCAGGAATTTCTGTCGCTTTATCACTGCTATCAACAACACTCCTAGAAACATTGGGAAGGATGGCAAGTTTCAGATGCTGGTGTGTCTTGGAGCCAGGTATGAGGAAACTTTTTTTTTTTAATAATAATTTAATAAAATGAAAATATATTGTATAAAATGTATATTAGTAAGGTAAAGCCACATAAGTGCTGGGTTTTGCATTTTGGTTATTACTTCTAAAGTACTTTGTAACCAAAGAAGAGTCAATTATACCCTGAGTTCCTATGTATGTGAAGTACAGGAAATCATAGATACACAGGTGAATATCGAAGAGCTGGACAACTGAGATGTGAGAGAAGAGCAGCAGGCCAGTGTGAGTAGCCTGCCTCTCCTAGCTGGCAGGGTTGGAAGATAAAAGCAGGAAACCATGAGTCAGTGGGGCTTCTTCAGTTCCTGGCTGGGTGAATTTCCCATTACTCGTTAAAAGGCAATGGAGCAGGCCAATGACACTGGGCTTGCCTGGGACTTCCAGATCACTGGGAACCATATCTTTTGATACGAGGAGTGGAAAGGCTGGAAATACTTGTTTTGCATGAGGATGTCCCCTACCTAAAAAGTGCCAGACAGTTACTCCCCCCTTCTCCACCTTATAATAATGCATGGAGAAAATGGTGAATCTATTTGGAAGGAAAGGAACAACAGCAACAAAGACCTATCATAAAAATGAGAAACTAACTTTGCTTTATTTTTATTTCTGTTTCTGTATGGCTGCTTTGTCAGAGACCACCTTTTGCATCATTGGATCGCCCTGCTCGCAGACTGCCCGATCACAGCACAGATGTATGAAGACATAGCACTGATTAAAGATCATACTCTAGTGAATTCTTTGATTCGAGTGCTGCAGACCTTGCAGGAGTTCAACATTACGCTGGAGGCATCTCTTGTCAAAGGAATCGATATTTGACCTCTTGTCCCACAAAAAAACAACAAAAACTGTTTAAAACATCACCACCAACAACAAAAAAAAAAGCAACAAGGAGTGGATCTCGTTAGTATGCAAAAGTTCTGTCTGCCAGTACATTGTATCGTGAACTTGTTCATGGCCCTAAAATGCAACTTGGACTTTTCTTGAAAGAAACTCCAAAAATAGTACAGGCAAATGGATAGAAGCTGTAAACTCAATGTAAAAAAGAGGATTTTGGTATAAATCTATTTTAGAGTTTATTTGCTGATTTGCTTTTTACACACTTTCATGTGAAAGAGATAGAGATGAGTATTGTGCAGCTTATTTTAAAGCTGCAGTATTTCCTTGCCATGGAAAAGGTGCAGTGAGCCTTTCAGCATTCTGTGAACTTGCCTTCAGATATGCTGTATGTCATAGAGCCCAATGTATACACTCCATTTCTGCTGAGAAGGTCATTCTATAGTTTTTAAACTAATATTTTATATATTAACATTATTACCAGTGTTTGATTTTTAACGTGTTGGGTCACTGTTCTGCTGCAAGGGAACTACAAATTCTCATGTGTGCTTTTTAATAGCTCTAAAGCACTGACTTGTCAACAGATCACGTTTTCCTTTATTTTTGTTATCAGTATTATTTTTAGAGAATTCCAGGAGACTGAACCATGAAATGTGCAGAGATTGAAGTAATATTTTTCATATTGGTACACAATTGCACAGAAGAAGTTTAGCGTGTTTTTAACTGATGTTTTTTATTTATTTAACCTATTGTTGTGTTGTAAGTTTGTCTTAAAAAAAAAAAAATCTATGATACAACTGGTTTTATTATGTTGCAATTCAGAATTTACAGTGCAGCCCACTTAAATCAAAAACCTGGAATATGTATTTATGGTGCAAAAAATCTTTCCACTTGAACCAGCCTTTTGAAGTTTGGTATGTAGTTGCTGCTGGTAATTCTCCTAACTGCTAATAAAGAGGGACATGGGTTTCACAAAGGCTAGATGATTAAAGAAAGATGCTCGTACCCCTGCAAAATAATAACCACAGTCCTTTTAAGAAATCAAGATTTATTAATTTGTCTAAAAAGACAGAGTAGTACGTTCTTTCTTTCTCTGTTGTATGGATGTGTCTTGTCACCATCAGCTTCATTTGGGATGCTTTTGTTTTTAGCAGAAAAACTTAGTCCAATTCTGTGATAAAACAAACATTTTGAAGGTTTAATTTATTGAAGAGCTGGAAATTGGCAAATGCCTAAAGGCAGTGCTGTTCATTTGAATCCTCTGATAAAAATCTCTTTGAAGTGAGTATGTGAATTAACAGGCTGATTTATCAGCACCACAAATTACTGCACAGAAATTCAGGGCTATGTATTTAAGAGGTCTCCACTGTATAAACTTCTTTCAGTATTGTCTCTCTCTAGAGAAGCAGAGTCCAAGTTTTTTGGATCATACATTGTTGTAGTAGCTTTTCTTTACCTTCAGATTAGTGACATCTTGTGTTAGTTTTATTTCCATAATTTATAAGCATAGCACATATATTAAATTTTTGAGTATTTTTACTTTTGTCCTATTTATTTCATTATCAAATGGAGATGTTACTTCATCACTACTTTTTTTTTTTTTTTAATCAGAGCAAAGTTCTGCTTTGATTTAATGATAGCATTAGAAAGGTGCAAGGGCAGTATCCAAGCCATTGGTCAGACTGGGTGGGTGTGAATTCTTTCAGCCTGGGACTTGCAGCAGCATTTCACACAAGTATTTTGTGTGTGTGTTTTTTCAGTCTTGGAAGGGCAAAAATATAACAAGTACTTTATTCTGAGAATTTCATGTATTCAACTTAATATTTTGGGAGAATCTTTCTATACTCACCCCACATTGCTTATTTATATAGTAAAGGTAGTATAAAACAAAAAAACCCCAAACCCTACTGTGCTTTCAGCTCTATTTATCTTGGTTTTACTAGGCCTGTATATTTCACAGTGAATACATCTGTACAAAAAGAGGGTTGGATTAACCATTTTGATCGTATCATGTTAGTTGATCCTGCTAAAACCATATCTGTATCTTACAGCAAAGTGTGGATTAATTTTATCTTACATGAGGTAGTTAACCTTGAACTAACGTTTTTATTTATTTATTTGCTTGCATTTGTTCATCTGATGTGGGGCAATAACACTGGCCTAATGGCTTGCTTTGATGTGGGTCTTTCTGGCCTCGTTACAACAGTGAAATACCTAGAATGGAGGTCTAGGTCAGGGTTTGCTGGTTCCCAAGTGGTGGGCATTCTTTGTACAGCACATGGGGCTGAAATGGTCCACCAGTGACAGTATCCTGTGTGCTAAATGTTCAGATGAAAGAGATCATCTTCCTGTCTCAATTTATTTTCAAAGGGGAGACCATTTTATGATATATCCTTCCTCATGGGGGTGAATAGTCTAATCCCATTAAGATACAAAGCACTTTTTGCTGTAATCTTTAGTAGATGCCAAGGAAGATAGAGATGTTGAATATAGCCTTCTGGTAGCCTGGGTTCAAGTTTTGGGAAGAGATTTGGCTGGCATCTCTGCAGCGTGCAGTTCAGTCTGTGGTCACAACCATAATCCTTATTGCTCTTCAGTGTTTGCTCCAAGCAAACCTCCTGCTCTCATTGACGTAGCATCAGCCCTACAGAATTATGTCTGGATCCAGCATTTGTTCCTTCCATGCCATTTTGCTGAATTGGATAACGTTTGTATAGAACAAATGGTATAGTCACAGTCTTCTACCCTTTAACTATGTAAAATCCATCTCCCTTTCTAAAAGTAGCATTGCAATTTTTTTAAATTTTTTATTTTTGGCTCAGAAACGAGCTGTAGTGTAATGTAACTAATTATTTGCTGTTCTAAAATGAGAATTCAGGCTTGGTAAGAGGCTATGCTGATCACTATTATTGCAGTTATTGGGGAAAAAGATAATGTTTTTTAACTCAGCACTGAGAGCCACATTAGCATACACATTCTATAGATACAGAAATTTAATGATTAAAAAGTAAGTAGTTCCTATTGCAGTAAATGCATAGTGCTACATTGGCCAAACATGTTTGCAGACTGATACCTGATTTGAAGAAAAAACAGGCTATCTCCTATAAATTATTTGTTTGATTAATGCTATCAGAGTTAATGTGATACTTTATACAAAGATAAAACGCAAATTAATAAAGACTTGTTTGAAATACAGAAAGTTTATACAAAAAGCACCTTTGTCTGCCGTATAATTAACCATCTGTGTTTAAAAATGTACTCATGAACTGAAGATTTTTTCCATTTTGAAAACTCAAATTGTTAAAATGGGACCTGCTGGCTGTGGAAGATCCATATTTTGATGTGTTCTGGATTCATGAACATGTTAAGGTTTTGTTTCTGCAGTGAAATTCAGAGTTAACTTTTTCTGTATATTGTCAAAAGATTGTTGTCCATAGTGCAAGATGCTATAGGATACTTGAAAATACTTGAAGATACTGTAGATGTACTTCTCATCTTTGTAAATTATTTTATACCTTTAGATCGGCTGTTAGAAAAAGCATCAATACCTTATAAACCGTATATTTTACTAAGTGGGGAAATCACTGACTTTTTTTTTTCTTTTTTAAATGGTGGGTGTTGAAGTTTACATTATGATGGCAAAACCAGGTACTGTTTTCCTTTTTTTATTTTTCCTGTGACATTTGAATCCATTGGACATTAAATGTGAATTGGACATACACAACAGTTTTACAGTTGCTGAATTGCAATAAAATTTCTCTTCTAACATGAGAAATAGCATTAATGTGCTATTTTCAAAAGCCTCCTAATGTACTGTAGCCAATCATCTCTTTCCTTTTTGCCTGAAGGCAATGAATGAATTGAATGAAGGTATGGATGTCATTTGGATGTCTCATTTAAGGTGAAGTTCATTAGAAGCCCAATCTTCATTAGCTTCAGTTCATACTGTAGCAACTAAGTACATGATAGTATACTCTTTTTGTTGTTGTTCTGTTCTGTACTGTTTTGTATTTGATCTGTTCTGCCAAATGGAGCCTCCTCCTCCCTGCACCGGTGTAGCATTCTTGCAAGCAGCTGTCACTCAGACACATCCAGTGGGGGAGAGATGCTTACTAAGTAATTGGGGAACAGGGAAGACAGGGATGGAGGGACTGATGTAGATCTTTGGGAGAATGTCTGTGAATACCACATTCAGGCACTGCTGTATAGGCTTTTCTCCTACATCAGAATAAGTTCTGATCCTGATATTCAACCAAGTTTGGTGGAGGTCTCAGAATTTTAAGTTCTGAAAAAAAGTCAGTCTCCTGTATGTACCATGTTCTCAATCCTTCTATGGGAGGATACATAAAGAAAAGCAAAAATTGTTGGAGATGGTACTAGCTGATGCTTCAACTACAGGGTTAAGTGAGGAAAATAGCACTGTCCTCAATCTCTGAGACTGATCACTGCTGCATCTGTTGCAGAAGTGTGCCAAACCGTAATTGCCCATGCTGCCCATTCGTTTCCTGTCTTTTTCACTCCATTTCTTCCTAGGATAAGATCTAATGTGGCAGTCCCAGGTCTGGAATTCCTGGGTAAAGGGGGTGTGCTAAGGCAGAGGCAAAAGCATGCTCCCTTTCATTTGCTTCTTAGCATGATTTGAAGCACATAGTAGTGGAGTCCTCTGTAATCTATGTTCATTAGATAGCGCTCAGCTTATCTCACCTAAAAACCGGTTCTGTATGTCTTACTGTATATTAGATCTAGTTTCTAGGTTTTGAGTGGACCAGTAAACAAGTAGGAGAGGAAAACTCATTTGTTGTTATGCTTCTGTCGCCTATGGACTGGAAGCATTATGTGCCAGTTCCATGAGACTGACATTTCACGGAGAGCAAAGTCAGCTTTACACACCTTCATCTCCTGCTTCGTCCAAAACTGCACTTCTGCAGGGGCTGGACAAGATGGCACCCACGGCCCTCAGCCTGCCAGTTCCTCCCCAGAGCCTGGCTCTGAGGTGGGCTGTGTGTAGGCCCCTCTCACTGGTAACCTGCACAGCCCAG